TTCCCGCAGCCCATCCGGGCCCGAGCCCACACCGCAGGCCAATCCGTACGCCTGCTCTGCTTCTGGAACAGACGCCCCCACGGGCCCTCCTTCCTGCAGTTTCGCGCCACCCTACAGCCGGCCTCCCTCTCGGGCGGCCTGGCGGCGCAGGGCACAGACACAAGCCGGGCTCCTGTCCCCCCCACCAGGGTGCAAAGCGGCCGCAGGACCCCCGTTCTTCGCACGTGGTCTCATGGAGGACTGCGGCTGGGCTTCCGCGGGGCTTTGCTTCCGTGAGGGCGGAATGGCGTTTGATAGGAACTCTGGAGAAGGAGCGGCCTTTCGCGGCTGGGTTCCAGGCCCGTCTGCGGCGGGCTGCGGTGCTGCAGTCGGCTGGGGCGGCCTGAGGCCCCAAGGGCAGATCAGGACTAGCGCCTGGGGCAGCTCCAGGGGCCGAGGCAGCGCACGCGGGGTGCGGCCCGCCCCTCCTACGCCTCCCTCGGCTCAGACGCCTGGGCAGCAACCCTGGGCTCTTCGGGACGGCTCAGTTCAAATGGTCACTCTCTGAATTAGAAACACATGTTGAGTTCAGAAAGATAGCCACGGCCAAGAGTGACCTTTCCAGAATGAGCAAAATGCTGTCCCAGTCTTTGTAATACATGTATCTGCGTTGGAAACGACATGTGATACGGTGATGCTGGGGAGCCGGCATAAGCTAGGGGTGAGGGGGCGGGCTGGGGAAATGACGTGACCCAGGACAGCTTTGTCTTCACGGCCCTGACGGATACCTCTTGGAGCAGTCAGCCGCTCACAGCAAGCATGGGTGCCCTCCGCAAGGAGATCAGTGGAGGATATTTTATTCTTTTCCCTCTGGCTTCCACCCTGTGTGACAAGCCTGGGCGTTGAAGGAGTGATGGATGTAAAAGAACGGTCTGAGACCCCCAGAATGACGAAGACTTTTGGCCAAAATTCAAGTGCCTAATGCAATCGCTGGCCAGGAATTAGGGTGTGGCCCCTAGTACCTGCCTTCTAGACTTCATTCATTCACCAAACACTTAAATGTCTCAATGTGATGCGGCCCTGTGCCAAACCGGAGGATAAAATCTCGTTAAAACGTGTCCTCAATGGCTCATCATCCAGCATGACAGGAATGATATTAAAAAAATTGAAAGAGCTCCCAGAGGCTCAAAGTGTTTCAAGGTTCAGAGGTGGGATTGTTCAAGCTCTGTTAGGCAGATCCCTGCTGGCTTCCTGGGAGAGGTGGTGTCTGAACCGGGTCTTCAGGGAAGGTGCTGGAAGAAGCTGTCTTAGGGAGTGGGAACACTAAAAGCAAAGATGCAAAGGCAGGGAAGCTCAGAGGAGGGCAGGGCACCAATGAGGACACTGAAGCTTCTGGAGGAGTTGGAGCAGGTGGGGGCACTCGGGATGTCGGGAGAGATTTGGCTGGATTTTATGAGCACTGGGAAACAACTGCAGATTTTCAAGCGATCCTATGTCCAGAAAGCTTTCAAAAAGTGCATTCTGAAAAAGGTGTGGAGGGAGGAGCCAAAGTATTTCAGGCTTAGAATCAGCAGGACTTAGCAACAGATCGTGTGTGTGTGTGAGTGTGTGGAAGTGTGTGTGAGTGAGAGAGAGAATATGACTGAGTGACTGGACGCGGGGCCTGGGAGAATGCTGGTGGCTTTCAGAGAAAGAGCGTTGGTTTGGAGAGTGTGGTAGGAACAGGTAAGAAAATAAGGACCAGTTCAGGGGGCTTGTACTTTGCTGACCACCATCCACTGAGGACTGAGGGAAAGTGTTTACTTTTAAATTTTGGATGGAGACACATACACTTGGACTACAGGACAGGAGCCCTAGGTGGGGGGTGGGGAAGGAAAGAGGCCCGAGGAGTGATGCGGATGGGGCAGCACCAGAAGGGAAGGGAGGCCAGCTGGGAGGCGGGGCTCCAAATGGGGGGCACCGGCATGAGGAGGAGGGAAGGGAGGACAGATGCAGAGTGCAGGCAGGTGCGCTTGCATTGGAAGGCAAGGGTAGAAACAGGCCCTCGGAGAGTGTCTTCTTCAGTTACGTTTTATAAAAATAAATAAACTTATACTGAAAGGCTTATGAGGAAACCTCCCCCTGTCCCCACCTGTCCCTGGAACTTCTAGCTCCCCAGAGGCAGCCACATGCAACTCTTTTGGCTATCCCCCCCTGATATTTACCTCTATATTTCTAAATTGACTATTAATTTTAAATATCTCTCTATATAGATATTATGTATATCATATTTAGACATTACATAGCAAGTATCAGCTATAGGCATTAGTTTATGTATTAGGCTCACTCATAGCTCTCCTGCTTCCCTGCCCCCCCCCGCAACTCCCACTAGAATTTACCACTAATCAGTAGTCGATATTTATGCTGTTATGAGCTAAATAGTTCAATATAGCTGAATATGATTATGTTGCATTTTGTTTTGCTCTTCTTTGAATTAGTACTAGTGTTATATTATTATTTGCTAGATTTTATGTATCTACTTTGGATTCTTCTTACCCTAGGGTATCCTCTCAACATAATTTTCTATTCCATATAAGGTAGCAGATCATTTGTTGGTTCCATTTTTATTTTATTTTATTTTTTTAAATTCATGACCTCCCCTCTGGAGTTCTCTCTCTTCCCCATTCCATGTGGACGGCTTCTTCTCTGGACTTGCTAAAGGGCTTTCAGTTTAAAACTTCCTTTACTACCATCCTAGAAATTTCTTGAACCTCTCCTGTCTTGGGCTGTTTGCTCTTTTTCATGGTTTACTTGTTTCAGTGGAACACGTTTTCTAAGCTTTTTAAGAGGCCTGATAGTTTTTTTGTTTAAATATTTCATGTCTGAAAATATTTATTCTTGAATCATAATTGATGGATATTTTGGTTGGGTAGAGAATTCAAGATCAGCCATTATGCCCTCAAAATTTGAAGACATTGTTCTCTTGTCTTCTAGTTTCTGTTGTTGAGAAGCCTGATGATGCTCTTTGGATTTAAAATCACTTTTTAAAAATATTTTCCCCCTGAAAGCTTATAGGGTCTTCCCTTTTCCTCAGTGTTCTGAATATGCCTTGGTTTAGGTCTTTTATTTAATAATTGTGCTGGAATCAAATTTGTGTGTGTGTGTGTATTTGATGCTTCTCACCTTACTACCTCATTGTCCGTCCTATGTCTGTTTTTCTGATTATTTTCTTGGAAGATTTCTAGACTAATTTTCTTTTGGTGCCCTTACTGTTGTCTGTCATTTCATCTTCCTGTTCTACCTTCTGAAAGATTTCCTTGATTTTATCTACGAAACTCTTTCATTGAATTTGCTTATTTTGGCAAGCATATATTTGTTAGCAAAGGCTCTTCCTGATTCTGATTATGCTTTTTTATACCACTCCATACTTGCATTGCTGATGGTGTCTTTGGTGTTGTCTTTGGTTTTGTTTTGTCTTTTTGAGAGTTTTACATGTTTCTTTTCTTGCATTGCGTATTCCTTCAGAGTTCCTTTTCATTAGTTGGGTGACTTGTTTTAGTCTGTTTCTTTTTGGAGGCTCTCCTTGCATTCCATGTGATCTTGACCATGGTTCACATTTGAAGGTGAGGCACTGGATAAGAGTTCATGCTGGTGGGCTTCATTATGGGGGTCAGTTTGAAGATTCTCCCTTTCTTCAGCCTAAGCTATAAGTAAGTGTCCTGGGATCTGAGAAGGGAAAGAGGGTTGGAAGCCTCCTAAATTAATGGGCAGACTTTGTGTTTCCAAACTGTTCTCTCCTGTCCTCCATTGTCGCTGATGTCCCATATCTGCAGTCCCTCTATCACAGTTTCTGTCTAACCCAACGCTTCTCGACAACGGTTTTGAAGAGAACGGAGGCCTGATGCTGTTCCCTTGAATGATGTGAATTCTCTTCTCTTGCATCTAAGTGTTAGCTCTGTATTACCCTTTGGATGACTGAGAAAGTGGTGACGCCTTCTCCATAGGGTGTAATTCTCTCATGGAGCCCTGGTCAGTCCCTTTGGGGCTGGGCGTGTGTGAGCTTCATGGCTCTTTGGTGGAAGGGGAGCACGTGTTTGATCGCTGTAGTTACCTTAGTGAGTTTGGAAATAAGACAGTGGGTCAAAACGCAATCACTGATTTTGCCTGGACTTCATCGTATAGTTTCGGGACCTGGGCACTGCCAACACCATACCGACTGCAGAAGTGGGTGGGGTTTGGTTTTGAGGCCTGTATCTGCCAGTCCCGGTTATTTTTAGCTGCCTCGTGGGCCCTCAGGAAGCCTTCCTGGAAGCCTGCCTGGTTCCAGGAATGTATTCATAGGAGGAAGGGGAGGCAGCTTCCTGGTGTGTCACAGCGCCATCCCATGAGGGCAGGGAAATGTGAATCAGCAGGTTCCTCCAGTGGAAATTCCCTCAGTTGGTGATCTTAAGACTAGCAAGAGGCGTGGGGTGTTTTTGCTCCTTTGGGGCCTGTGCCCGCCGCAGAGGAGCCTCCAGCTCCCTGATGCCTCGTGGGATCATGGTGGCAGCTGCATTCAGCAGGGCCTCGGCTTGTGACCGAGGAAACATAAGGTGGTTGGGGACAGCGGGTCCTGTTCAGTAATTCGTGACATACCTGTGGTATCATCCTGCGGAGAAATCCGAAGTTTCAAGTTTTGGTGCTGGGGCTAAGAGTGGTGCTGCTTTGGGGAGTGCAGCCATTGTGTAGAAAGGTTGAAAATCCTCCCCCTACCCCTTGGGCCCTGGTCCCCGCTGACCTCACCAGTTCCTGGGTGACCTGAGGGCAGCTTGACCTGGGGCCCATCTTCTGAAGCTGTGAGGCACGCTGTCCCCACACTGGGGAGGCTGCTCTGGGCTCGCCAGGCCAGTGCCCACGATGCTGTTGCTGCTGCAGGCATAGCCACCAACCACATACCTGCCTAGGGAGCTGAGCCTATAGGGTCTCACGGAGGGGCCTGGGCTGAGCAGTCAAGTCTGAGGTTTTTAACCCTGCCTGTTTCTCTCCACTTTCCAAATGCTCAGCTGAGGAGCCCTCTGAAGCACCCCCGTCCGGAGGAAAGGCCTCGCAGGTGCCTGGAAAGCCCTCCCACCCAGCTCTGGTGGAGGCCCCCACGGAGGCCTCTCGTCCCAAGCCGACTCCTCTGCCGACACCAAGTGCTCCCCCGCTTTCTGAGGACCCCAGAAAACGGCCGCACGTGGGCCAGCAGCCCGTCCTGCCCAAGAAACCCCCCCAGCTGCTGCCCCCGCCAGCATGGCCAGGCTGGACAGGGCTGCCCTTCTTGCCCGGCTCCACAGGGGTCATCATGGAGACTGGGGAGGCAGGGCCTCCGGGAAGGATGGGCGTGTCAGGGAGGGGCCTGCCCCAAGGAGTGGACGGCCAGTCGGGGCAGCGGCCCGTCCCCAGCACCGAAGGCTTCGCGGGAGCACCAGGTAAGTCCCCCGCGGCTGGCACATCTGAGTCCGGGGGTAGGGGAGGTTGGGTGTTGTGAGAATATATGGAGGGTCAGCCTGAGCCTTAGGGGGTCTGCTGCAGGGTCCTTCCGGGTGCAAGTTCCAAAAAGCTCTTTAGAGGTGCTGAGGGATGAGTTCATGCTGATTGAAACCCCAGAGGCTGGGCAGCTCCAAGGATAGTGCAGTCAACACCGCATCCCACTTCTGGTAGGAAACATACCTGGGACTCCCAGTGTGGCCTGGGAGCCTGCACAGCAGCGGAGAATGCCGCCCCTTGGGGTGGGTGGGCCAGAAGGTTCAGGCTCAGATCTCAGGGACGTGACCCCAGGCTTTGGGGCCTGGGGCAGCTTTGTCACCCCTGTAAGACTCAGCTCCTTCACAGGCAAAAAGCAGGGTAAATAGTAGGAGCTTAGAGGTTGGAGGAGAAAAGCCTTGTTCAGTGCGTGGCCAGGAAGGGCTATTTGTGAGCTGTGGTGGGGGGATGGTGTCGGGGCAAGGCAGGAGGGAGGAGAAAAAGGGAGCGAGCCTGTGTGGGACTCCTGCTGCGAGCCAGGGACTGAATCAGGTGCAGGCTCTGCAGTAGCTGTCCTGGCTGCACTGTGCTGTCTGTCGTCATTCCGTTCAACAGATGGGGAACAGAGGCTCGGGGCCTGGACAGGGAAGCAGGGTGCTGCGTGGGGCAGAGCAAACCCGAGCAGGCTGACCCCAGCAGGGAGGGTCTGGTGCCCCCCGGACCCCTGGGTGCCATGGCCTCCAGGCAGGAGGGGCCCGTGCTGGGAACATGAGAAGCCATGGGTGCTTTGTTCCTGCTCAGCCTCCCCAAGCTACAGCCATCACAGCTCTCCCCCAGGCGCCTGTGCCTCTCCGGAGAGGACAGTTTTCCTCCTGTTCATGCCATGCCTTACAGCTGGTTATAGTTTAGGACGCTGTTTGTCCCTCTGCACTTCTAGCCCCCACCCACCCATGCGTGCTTGCAGGAAAGACGGAGTCCAGCATCCTCCTCCTTTCTCCCCCAGCCAGCTTGCCCTCAGGGCTCTTCTCTGCTCAGGGAAAAGTGGGCTAGTGAGGAAGCAGACACAGTGGGGACACGACTGTGCCTCTGCTCCTGGGAAGGCAGCTTGGAGGGGGGGCCTAGTTCTAGGTCTATTTAAAGAACTAGCATGAAGAGCAGGGAGAAAAAGTGGGGCTACTCTTTGACATTCAACCCTATTTTGTTTTCCAGGGTACCCCAACTCCCCTCCAGCAGCCTCCCCAGGTACGTCTGCTGGGAGACCAGGGCCGCCTCTGCCCCTCTCCCGCCTGTCCTACCTCCTCCCTCTGGGCTGATAATGTGGGTGGAAGTCGGGGTCCGCCAGCTAGGTGGGGACCACTGCTGACTGGACTGAGCCCTCAGAGAGGGGCAGAGTCAGGCCTGAGACCAGGACTTTCCCTCAGACATCAACCATTAGCTCGTGGAGTTGGCCAAGAGGCTCCCTGGCTGAGTCTGTGTCTGGTGTGGCCGTGCCCAGCTTCCCAGTGCCCCACTCCATGCCCGCCCTGAGCCCCCGATGCCCACACACACCCAGTGTCACGCAGCTGCTCACACATGCCTGTGGCCTCACAGGCCCACCCCCAGCCTGTGCGTGTCCCACTGCTCAGCAGGCCTGGCTACTGGCCTGACCAGGACTTGTCTGACCCTTGTGTATGAGCACTTGGTGTCCCACGGTGCTCTACCACCTTAAGGCAAAAGAGTACGGTGAGGCTGCCTGTCCAGCCTGGCACATAGGCCTCAGTGATCCAGGCCGTGATCTCTGACCCCCGTACATGCTCCATGTCCTCTCGGTTCCAGGGGTTCCAGTGCCTTCTCTGGTGTCTTTCTCTGCGGGGCTCACCCAGAAGCCTTTCCCCAGCGACGGGGGCGTTGTCCTCTTTAACAAAGTGCTGGTTAACGATGGAGATGTGTACAACCCCGACACCGGTAAGCGCGGAGACTGTGTGCGGTCTCCCATCAACAGCTCCCCCTGTCTGGTCTGCTTCCCTGGGTCCTGGGCGGGGGTGGGGTGGGGGGGGGCGCCACACTGAGCAGCTGCGGGCACGTGAGGGACCAGCTGGCCCGTGATGCTTTTCCCGGCTTTGTGTGATTTTACGAAGACATTTCCAGCTCACAGGCTGCAGGGCGGGTGAGTGGGTGGGCGTGCAGTAACATTTTTTAGTCATGAGATCAGCATACCAGCCCTTGGCCCATGCCAGGGGAATCGTTGTGCCCCTTGTTTGTGGAGGTTGTGGGGCTCTGCCCACCAGTCACTGTGCCCTGGCCCCTTCCTGCTGTCCCTCCATGCCATTGGGAGGCCCTTTTCAGTATCTGTTGTTCTCATACCCTGAGACAGGACAGATGGGAGACCAATCCCCTGACCTGTCCCCTTCAGAAGTTATGACCAGAGCCAAAAAAGGGGACAGCATTCCATCCAAAATGGGCCAGGCCATGTTTGTGGGGTCTCCTGCCTCGGGAACAGAACCACTCCTGCTCTGGGTTGGGATTCTGCCTGTGGCACCTGTGTTGTGCCCAGCCCCTGAGGATAGTGAGGACTGAGGTCACCTCAGATTCCTGTTGTGTAGGTTTCCTCCTTTCTGCCACACCTGAGCCTGGGTTTCTGTCCATCTTTGTCCCCGGGGACTAGAGTCAGACCTTTCCTGAAAGGCCAGCGTGTCAGGGCCCCACTTCCCTGCTGAGCCCGTGGCAGCCTGGAGGGAGGTACCTGGGTGTCCCCAGGGCAGGTCAGGGTAGAGACCCGAGGCAGGTGCAGCCAGGCGGCCTTTCCTGAGTAGGCCACAGACTCTGAGTAGCCGGTCTCTGAGCCCATCAAGCGCCATCGTGCTGAGGGGCCCCCATGGGTCTTCCCTGAGGAGCTACATGATGGCAGGTGGGACTAAGGAGAGGTTACGAGGAGGCAGATGAAACGGGGTTCCTTCATGGTAGAGTTTTTAGCCCTCTGCCTCCTGTCTGCCCACATGGCTACTAACAAATCCCACCGTGGTTCTTAAGTTTTACTGAGCATAAAAATTACCTGCAAAACTTGGAAAAATGGAACTCGGTGTCCTCCAGGCCAGTTGAAGTCAAGCTCAGGACTCTGCTGCTGCTTCTTTAAAAATATTTTTGAGAGTGAGCAAGCGAGCATGAGGAGAGGGGCAGAGGGAGAAGCAGACCCCCCCACTGAGCAGGGGGAGCCCGATGCTTGGCTCCATCCCAGGACCCTGAGATCATGACCTGAGCCATAGGCAGACAGGTAACCGACTGAGCCACCCAGGGGCCCCAGGACTCTGTATTTTTGACCTGCTCTTGAGGCGCAGAGGTAGGCTGGGGTGTGAGACGTATCTTAGCTTCCAGAGACCTTTACTTTCCCTACAAGTACAGCCTCCTCCTGGGGCCCTCACTCCATGCTGCCTTGGTGGCAGGAACAGCTTGTCGACAGTGGCTTCATTTCTGGCACATTCCAGGATGCCCTGCCCAGAACTGTATCTTCTTGTTGAGCAGTTCCTCATTAAAAGAAGTTCTGGGGAATCCCGAGTGTGGATTCAGCACAGGCAATCTCCAAGGGAGGGAAGAGGCCATGGGCTCAGAGTGCTGGGACCAGGTCTGTTTTCAGGGTCCAGGTGGCCCTCAGGAAGACTGTGGAATGCCAGAGAACTCACCCTTACAAGCTGGGAAGACAGCAGGGTGGCCTGGCATGTGCTCTTTTTTCAGGGCAGATAAAGACCCAGCCCCTGAGGTTCCCTCTCAGCTCCGGGGCAGCCCTCTGTTCTGTCACTCTTGGCCTGTGATCAGGGTCCACGTCCAGCCCCCTCCCCACAGCCCAAGGGAAGTGGCTGCTCCTGCATTGCGGATGGGCTCCGACTCTTCTGGGTTTGGGGCCAGTTGCCGCTTTGCAAATGGTACATCTACAAATCCATCTCCTCTTCCTCAGGCCGTCTCCGTACCCTTAGCACTGCTTCCCCGGGCCCAGAACCTGGCTTATATCTGGCCATGAGTGGATGCCACCTGTATACTGGTCCAAGACAGGCAGCCTGGCTCTTCTGCATAAGGGCTGGCTGTGGTCTCTCCCACAATCTTTGTGGGTTCTTTTTGGTCCCCTCTCCTCAGGAGGCAACTCAAACCATTTTGTAGATTTTGGGCCCAGCACACAAGTTGTGAGGCTTATTCTAAATGGGTCTTGGGGAGCTTTCCATGCTGGAGAAAACTCCCAAATGGCAACCAGAACCTGGGTGGCTGCTGCTGCTCCACTACACCTTGGGTGGCAGGTGGAGGTGGGAGCCGGCCCCAAGCTGGGCCTTGGCCTTGTGTCTTCACGCCTGTGCTGCACACACAGCACAACGAAGGCTGGTGTATCTTGCTGCTGGGAACGTTAGAGGGTCTGAGCTCTCTCCCAGCAAGGCTGGGTAGTTGTCTCCATGCATGCTGCACGGCTGCAGGGACAAGTTCTTCTGAGGGCTGCTCTGGGTGGAAGGAGTTACGGTGATCGTACCACATACTGGGGGTTTTGTAGAATTTGTTCTCTTCTGGATGTTACAGCAGAAGATGGGGTCTCACCATGAGGACTGGGTTTGTTAAGAGTAGTGCTAGCTAAGGGGGTCTGTTGCTTGGTGGGTGTAGGGCAGCTGCAAATAGAAAAGGGCTACCTTACCTCTATGGGTAGGGTGACCAACTCTCCCAGTTTTTCTCCTGAGACAGTCCTGGACAGATGGGTAGTCTCCCAAATCTGGGTTAACTGACAACCTGTGCCAAAGGTGCTGTGATGGTGTCCCATGAGTATCTGCCTTCCTTCTCCCAGGCATCTTCACGGCCCCATATGATGGGCGCTACCTGATCACGGCCACCCTCACGCCCGAGAGGGATGCGTATGTGGAAGCTGTCCTGTCGGTCTCCAATGCCAGTGTGGCCCAGCTGCATACAGCCGGCTACAAGAGGGAGTTCCTGGAATACCACCGGCCCCAGGGGCCTCTGCACACTTGTGGGGGCCCTGGGGCGTTCCACCTCATCGTGCACTTGAAGGCAGGAGATGGTGTCAACATCGTGGTGACTGGGGGTCGGTTGGCTCACACGGACTTTGATGAAATGTATTCCACGTTTAGTGGGGTCTTCTTATATCCTTTCCTTTCTCACCTCTAGGGTGACTGGGGAAAGACAGTCATTAAGAACTGGGAAGCCTTAATATATGCAGTTTCTGTTCTATGTATGGAGCACTGGTCTAGTTTCCTGCAAACATCCCAACACCTTCCCCAACATCCAGGCCCAATGGGGCTGCCGAGGCCACACACCTGAGCGTCCCCGGTGGGTGGCAAGGACACATGTGCCTGGCTGCAGCCTCCTGTTCTGCCTGGCTACCTGAGAAGCGGGGTCCGCCCTATCCCGTGGCCACCGGCTCTGGCACCGCATCGGCAGGAGCTCTGCTCAGGGGACCAATCGGGTGCCCACTGCGGAGTGTGACCTGCTTCCAGGAGGGGAGAGCTGCTGGGCTACAGGGCGGAGGGGATGCGGCTGGCAACGCTGGGCTGGTGGCCACATTCTTTATTCCCAGAGCCTGTAGGAGAGAAGGTTAAACACTGAAATGCTGAAGCCACATGTGCTGTCACAGAGACTGGGGGTCGTGGTGCGGGCTGGCCCGGGAGACTGAGCAGCCTGGGGGGCTCCTTGAATGACCTGTACATGGGAAGTGCAAAGACAGGGAGGGTCAATAAAGATGTAAAACCACTGTAAGTTATTGAAGTCTGGTACCATATGGATTGAGAGGTGTTGCTAAAAAGCAAACAGCAGGAAGGTAATTGACTTTTAAAAAATGGCTGTAGAAAGTAAGCTTGAAGAAATCAATCTCAACTATGTAATTGTTACCCCTCACTATGCAAGCTACACGCTTGGTGGGTTTTTTTTTTTTTTTTTTTTTGCTTGTTAAAAACAAAACAAAACAAAAACAGATGGGCTTGGAGGTCAAGGCCCCCCTGTGATGCCTGCAGCCAAAGAGGGGCTCCTCCAGGGGATGCTTAAAATTCACATCTAATCAGCAGCTGCCTGAGCTGAGGAGCGAGCTCGCTGCACAGCTCACAGCACATGTGGCTTTAAGGATTCTCGGGTTCCCAGGCAACAATAGGCCCAACATAAAAGTGATCACAGACTGAAAGCTGAGATCATCGGAGAACAGCAGGAACCTTCCCATGGAGAGTTCATTCTGTTCCAGGGAAGCCCAGTCATGTTGCTCCTTTATCAGCAGCCACAGAAACCTCTACGACATACGACCCTTAGCTTCAGGTGGTCCCTGCTCAACAGGCTGGTAAAATCTGTTGTCCGATCAAGTGCCCATGGGGAGAAAAGTCCCCTAGAGCCCCAGGGAAAGATGCGGATCAGAGAAACAAGTCTCCTGGGCCTGAGATCAAGCCACTGGATACTCTTATGCTCTAAAAAAATGCTGTGAGTTTCCAGGACTGCTTGCAAATGCGGTAACAGGGTGGCCACTGGACATGTCCAACAGGAGCCTTCTTCCTCATTCCCTTACCCCAGGTAGGGAGAAGTGACCAAGAACTGCCACTTTGTGGTTTTAGAAGTTTAAAATCTGGATCTAAGAGTTGATGGTGGGGGGAGGGGGGCATTCTCTTTCCCCATTTCTACAGCTGGGGAATTGGCTAAAGGTGGCTGTCAGAGTCTGTCCTAGAAATGACTCATGCAAAAAACCCCAAGGCAGTGGAGCATTTTCAGGAAAACCCAGTTGGCACATGGACCTACTTTCACCCTCTTTCCCTCACACCCTCTGCAAAGACTTTAGCGCCAAAGGGGATAAATGTTCAACAGCCGGAAAGGCAGGGGCCAGACAGAAGGGAGCCAGTGACTGCTCCTTATGCTCCATGGTTGGTTCCCTAGAGCACTGAGTGAAGCGTGGTCCTCCTCTCTCAATGCACCCTCACTCACTGAAAAACATGAATTTCAGCTCTGTGTATCCAAGACTGGCAAGGTAAACGAAGTCTAATTACAGCTGCTCCTGTGCTTACATCAAGATAAAACAGAATGACAGCTACATCGGGGCTCCTTCTGCAATTATTTCCGCCACAGCGCATTAATCGAGCTTTCTCAGTGGCCCTATCATCTTTCCTGCGGTTTCTCACGAGTGGTTTGAAAGGAGTGTCTGTGATCAGAGGGATAGAACCAACGCACACCTGCACATCTATAACATGCCTTCACATGTATCTGCACCCACTTTCTGAACACGCTTCCTTCTTCCCTTACGTTGTCCCATCAAGGGAAGGGAAAAGGCAGGCTCCACTCTAAGGAGCTGCAGGGATGAGCCCTTGCTGCTTCACCCCAAGCACTGGAGCCGGCTCCTTCACAGTCAACTTCCCTCTGAGTGCATCCTTTCTGTTCCCTACATACACCCCAAAGACCCCCGGGTCTCCTCACCCTGCGCTCATGTCAAGGCAAAGCAGCAGGACAGGACAAGCTTTCCTGTACTTGAAAGTAGGCTCTCAAGGAGGGCTTTGGGATACCTGTCCAGCACATGCTGCATCTGGTAGAGCCCAGCAATTTGGGGGAATAATAAGACACTCATTAAGTAGTATGTGGGGTGTGGTTTTTGATTCAAGAACACTTTCACTCTCCTAGGCTGATGAGAACATCAGAACTGCTAAGTGGTACCCGGAGGGAGGGTTTCATGAAAGGTGGGGTGGCAAAGGCTCTGAGCAGGCCTCTTGAGGGACCCCTGACGGGCTGAGGGCTGGTGGGGGAGCCCAGCCTAGAGGATGCCAGGGAGAACACACCAGAAATTACATATGTATGAATGAATCATTCTCTGGCAGAACCTACAAAGCAAGAGAGGTTGGTTCCTGGGAGTGTAGCCTCACTTTTGGAGTCAGGTTTTATAAAAATAAGCACCAAAAAGAGGTCCTTTCTGTAGATGAATTTTAGTGTGAGCAGAGATCAAAATGCTAATTTATGGAAATTATCAATTTCTGGCAAGAGTACAGAGAATATGGTTTAAATGTCTTCTGAAGGAAGGAGTCAAATGCATTCAGTTTACGTTTGTTTATTGTTGTAACGTCTTGTTTTGAACATCAAACACTGCACCAAAATATGAGCCATTTATCTTAGGATAACTGTCTTTGCCATGACTGAGAGTACTGTACTGATGTTTACAATTAATTTCTGACAACTTAAAATTTATTAGTGGCATTGCTAATAATCAAATACTCCATCATAGACTAAATGTAATTAATTAAATTAAAACAACAAAGTTTCCCCCTCCCTCTCTTATCTTCAAAACAAACCAAAAAAGTAGTTTTCACCTGGAAAGAGTACTTAAACAAAAACTCAATTTTTAACCGGTTTCATTAAACACAGCATATTCTCAAACAGGAAAACAAGACTTCCCAGAGTAAACAGGATACTTAAAGATGCTAAAATTCCCTGGAAGAGTTTGTTTTCACCAACTAGCAAAAGGAGAAAGCATTTACTTTCTATTCTCTTTAAAGGTCTTGCCTGCACCTTCAAGAACATCGTCCCGAAGGCCCACATGTGCTCCTATGGGCACAGGCACTTTCTGGTCATTTAGCTAGCTGTCGTTCCTCAGCTGTTCTCCCTGTGACCATTAGCAGCTTTCATTTTAGGACAGACATCACACTGTAAGTTTTTTCTTTTTCCAGTTGAAAACTAAGCAGATGGCTTTGAGCACAGCAAACAGTCCTCACACACGGCGGCTAAGTGTGCACGCTCCGGGCCCACACGCGCACTTCCTCACGCCTGCCAGAGACGCAGATGTCGACACCACAGCCAGAGAAGCTTCAGCATGTGGGGAGCAAGGCAAATACTCAAGTCAGGTTGAATTGGAGAGAGGGAAAGGGGCCAAGGCCATTTCACCAGTGGAACAACCGAGAGAATGACTTCGAAAAGCCCAATCTGCTTGCGATCACCCCGTGATCCCGCCCATCACCGAAAGCAGCACGGGATAACGCTTCTTCATTAACTCACCATTGGAAGGGTCTGTGTACAAACACACTCGAGGGTAACTCTCTTTCACAGAAAGAACAAATGTCATTTGTACCAAATGGCAATGGGTTTTAGCACAAACTTAATACTTTCATTAACACTATAGTGATAGTAATCATCTACTTTCAGCAAGAGGGACTCCTTTAAATAAGGAAAAAGATTCATGTTAATTAGCAAATGTACCCACTGGATCAATCTGCAGCAACAAAACAACAAAGTCTAGTGCTTATGGACGCCAGGACAGAGGGGCCTGTCCCACCTCGGCACAGGAATTGGGAGACCTGGGCCCCTGGGTCAGACCTACAGAAGGCCCATGTGTCCACAGAGAAGAACTTATCGAGGAAAAGAAGAGTCTAATCAAAAAACTCTTTAAAAGACAACCTAAAGAGGACTATAGAAGGTCAAGATTTCCTGTACCGCATGTGTGCAGAGAAGCCCTAGTAAGCTCATGTTCTTCCTGGAAAATGAACGTGGAGAGGATACACTGGCAGCGTCTCGGAGCCCACCAGCTGCACCGCTGCTCAGGTTTTAAGTCACTAACTGGGCAAAATTTCCTAGAAACATAACCGAGTTTGCCTAACCTACTGTACATAAATAAATTCTTTAAACAATTAGTCCTTGCACTACTGAAGGGCGGAAAGTTTGCACCAGAAGCAACACGCATTGGTCCTCCTCTGGGAGCATGTGCCTCCGTGTTCTGCCACAGAGCTGCGTTCGGGGGGGCGGGGGGGGGGCTCTACCGCGGTCTCCACGTACAAAAGTGCGTGGAGAAATGGCCAAACTAAAGGGACTTCCAACTCTCCAATCTAGAAAAATAACCACCCCATTTCTCCATCTTAGGTCAGTATTACTTGGGCGGGGCAAACTAAAACGAGGAGAGTGGAGAGCACCGCAGCCCAAGTCCCAGACCAGCAGAGGTGGGCACGGAAGCCGCCCCAGCGGGCACCTGGATCCGCAGCTTCCGTCCTCTGCTCTGGCACCTGGCTGAGTGCTTCCCTGCCGGCCAAGGCCTGTGCATGCATGGAGCCCTCCTCTCTGACAGTCCTCTGGATTCTAACACTGAGGTTGCCATCAACACCCAGGCTCTCAGTTCTGGAGGGGCTCATGGGCCAGACCCTCCCCTGGAGCTGTCTGCTTGGACCACCCTGCCTCATTACAACCAGGCTGGGAGACTAAGCTGAAGGCAGAAGGACAGAGAAAAGGACTCTTCCAGGACCCCACACGAATGCCTATCTGCATTTCTAAGGCCTCCCTGAAAACAGAGCTGTTGCTTATTGTCCAATCAACTCCCACCATTAGTACTCTTACAGTACTACAGGCACCAAGCACATCCAGCAAGACCTTTCTGTCCTGACTGGGTCCAAGACAATACAGATAGGCTAGCCACAGCTGAGAAGGCAATGATCTAAGGGGCTTTTTGTCCCCAGAAGCCCATATCTGTGGGGCTGGGGTCAGTGGCCCTGGCCCCTGCCTGGAGCAGCCCACCGAGCAGACATCCTGTTGCACGGTGGCAGAGAAGGAAGAGCCCATGGAAGAAATGTGCACAGGTGGTTTGAACCAACGTCACTAACTGGACCTGTAGCAGCTTAGTGGACCCTGATCCCCTAAAGAAAGCCCTGGTTTTAGAGAGAAACACTCTCAACTTCCCAGTGGAAATTATAACACTTTACTTTATACATGTTTTGGTCCCCTTTTGTTTAGCTTTTTTCTTCCTTTTAAATTATTCAGTTAAAGGAGCACCGGCACACACTTGACACAGCACATGTGTGACGACGACTAGTAATAGGAGCCTAGGCATCCCACCGCAGGTCCAAGCTCCTCGCCTGCCTGCCTGCTCAGGGCTCCGAACGGCAACCCTGCCAGGCCTGGGAAGGGAAAGGAATACAACGGTTCCAGCTCCAGGAGCTCTCCTGGTGCCTGCTGGTGTCCAGCTGTCAATACGTGTCTTGTCCTGCACCTGTGGCTTGGAGGGTAGCCCAGTGGCCTATGTCCAGAAGTGCTGGTCACCTTCCCTTGCTATGGGGCACATTCCTAAGGACCTCCCTGGGAGGTGCCACTTCACGCCAGGTCATCCAGGTCCACTTGGGGGATCGGGTCTCGCCAGTAGCAGAAGGAGCTGAACTCTGGGCAGGGAAAGGCAGAGTTTTGTTCCTTGTTGAGAAGCGGGAAAACGTGCTCCACGAGCTCGCTCAGTCTATGATACCTAGAAGGGGTTGGGGAAGAACACACAAACTGTCACCCTTAAGTGACATCAGAGCCCAGGACTACGTATGTGCTGTGAAGTTAGTTACTAAGAGGCCTCAGTGCAAGGCATCCAACCCCTCCCACGGCATGGCCCTCTTTGAAGTCTAGGATCGTAAGTGATCCTGGTTCAGAAGCTATTATAGAGGCAAAAACACCCAGGCAAAAAGGAAAGCCTCCAAAACGCAGGTACAGTTCTGCTACTGGGCAGGGGAGGCGGGGTGATCCTGAGACTCTGTCCCCAGGTTCACCCCTGGCTATGGGCAGTGGGCTGGGAAACAGGAACATACTTACGAGGATTTGTTTCCTTTGGTCCTTTCTTGTATTAATTCACCCTTGGGGTTCACGGTGAATATTCTGCAGTCTGGAACTCCCACTTGTGTGTAAGCATAGACATCCTGGACAAGAAAACATTAAATAGCGTGATTATAAGAAAAGACATTGAGAGATGCTTCTCTGGTTCCTTGTGAGCCAGAAGAACTGCACAAGCAGGAGACGGTGTACAGCAAACGTGTGGAGCTTGCACAGTGCAGCTCTGCTGCGGAAGGTGAGCTCCGGGCAAACCCAAACTGAAAAGGGGAGCCAAAGCCAAGGGCACTACAGTTAGAACACTGGGCGTGGAGCAGAGGCCCAGGCCCAGGAGCAGGTGGGGCCCCGCTGCCTGCCAGAGGCCAGAGAGCAACACCCTCCGCAGCCGGGAACTGGAGGGCCAACTATGCGGACAAGCTGAGAAGCATTAGGGAAGGCTGAGCATTCTCTGGGGGCGGGGATCTAAGAGCACGGCTTAGAACCACTTAGAACACAAGTCAGAACTACCTAAGGAGATGGAAGCAAAGCCACAGAAACAACGGCAAAGTGCCCTTTCTCATACATCAAAACTCTAGGGCAGATGTCCAGCTACAGAACAGAAAATTAAGAATAGAGAAAACGAAAACCTATTCAGCACAATATCCATTTTGCTTATACAATTGGTTTGAGAATCATGACAGGGCGGTACCCTAAAAAATACTCCTCTGAAAACACCAGAATGTGTAGCCCAGAGGCGACACTTACATTTGGACGGTTTCCAAAGGCAGCATAGAAGGGCTGCTTAGATGGGGCAAACAGATTCTTGATATCATTTAGACACTCAATTTTGAACTTCTCTGGCTTCTTTTCTATCACTTCCCTAGGCAAAAACAAACAAACAAAAAAAACCAATACAATGACCAAATTTGAAATGTTGTTTTCCCTGTTGTATGGTCCTGAAAAGACTTCGGTGGTCACAATCATTTCTGAAAGTCTTTTGTAACCAGCATCTTTCTCCTTCTGTTCTAGTCAAGAAAGACTGACATTCTGAGTGATGGGCTTTAGGGAAGGGGAAAACTTGATAGCTTGACTCTTTTGGACAGTGTCTGATTATGGACTGGGTGAGCTCAGAGTTAAAATGCTCTGGGGGAGCCCAAGAACCAAGACATGCAGAAGCTTGCAATGATATACAAACCCTCACAGTGAGTTTGACTTCCAATCTCCCCACCAATCAGACCCCTTCCCCTGGAGTGGGTGGGGATGCAAGCTTGTGTAGGAGAGGTACCTGTGGAAGGCTGAGAACAAGCTGCTGGGGGATAACATCAAAGGGCCCCGAGGTAAGATTGTGCCCTTGTCATTGACCCAGTGCAGGTAGCCACGGGTCATGTCAGCCATGCCAATGGCACGAGCAGAGCAGTAGAGAAACTTGTAGCCATTCCTGAAAGAGAACATGTCCTGTTTAGAAACATTCTTTGAGCAAAGTTTAAAAAAAAAAAAGAGCATTATTATTATTATTATTTTTTTACATTGCATTTTATTTTTTAAAGATTTATTTGAGAGAAAAAGAGAGAGCATGAGTGCATTAAAAAGCAGGTAGAGGAGCAGAGTGAGAGGGGCAGCAGACTCCCAAATAATAAGCAGAAGTCTGAAGCGGGGTTCAATCCCAAGAGATCATAACCTGAGCCAAAGGCAGATGCTTAACTGACTGAGCCACCCAGGCACCCCGAAGCAGCACTATTCTTTTAAAAGATTTAAATACAGTTCCTTTCATTTATTGTGAAAATAAAATTCTTGAATTTAATAAGGAAAGCAGTTAGCATTATAAGGATCTCAATTTTCCATGGAAAACACCATGGGGGAAAATGCAGGTATATGTAACGAGGCATCTGCTAAATTCATAAGATTGACGTATCTTTAGCATCTAGTCCATGAGAATCAGAATACAGAACAAAAATCTTGGACTATCTTTAAATTACCTGCCATAAACGAAAAATGCAAAGGATCTTATTTATAAAGACAATTTATAGAATGAAAACCACTCTGTAAGACAAGAAACAAAATCACACCTGGGTAATAGACATACAATTTTCCTATTACGGCATTCTCAACTAATGCTTAAGACACTGAGTCTTCAAATCAATTTAACTCATATGCACTATGGTCCACAAAGGCCACAGCACTGTTTCCTCTGTTGCTCCAACAGAAAGGAGAAGCAGGAATTTCACATTGGTGAAATGTTTCCCTCATGCATGCACACATTACCTACTCAGTGAAATCAGATTTTAAAAAACCCAACTAATAAACCAAAAATGAAAACTGGCTCTCCTGTTAAATTAAAGCAAAGCCCCCCAAGCCCCCCCGCCCGCCACAGGACAGCTAGAACTATAGATCCAGGGAGTGCCTGCAACTCCCAGCACTATGCTGTGTAGAGGAGACGGCTGAGACATGTAACACGATGGCTAGCACACAGCTCATGTTCCAGAAACGGTGGCTGATGCTTTTCTTTGTGTGAGGCTACATGAGCATGTGGACATGGGGGAGGGGATACCTACTCATTGATGGAATGGTAGAGCTTTGCTATACCCTGATGAGTCCAGTCTTTACCCAGCTGTGGAAGAATCTGCCCCAAGGCATCAGACCTAAGAAGGTAGAAATAGGAAAAGGTATCAGAAACAAAGCACATAAAGCCAAGTGTTTTCCTACTACAATGCCAGCTGCTAAACACCACTGGGTAGAGGCAGGGTCTAGGGACAATCTAAGCTATAGGCACAACTTTGTCACGGCTTGTGCAACAGCAAGGCAGTCCCCTGCATGTACACTGTACACCCACCCACTAAGGACCTTCTAAAAGTAGAAGCCAGATGTTCATTTTTAGAGATAATTTACAACCACACATCCTCTTTTCTTCCTCCCTAATCGCAACACCTTCTTACTTTTTAAAAATTTAATGCCAGAACTTGGGAGACCAAATAACTAAATCTTTCCAAAAGTTATCTTCAATGTTAATTTGTATGACTCCATTCATCTTCACCATCCACAGAATGACTGTGTGTGACCACGTGTGACCACATGTGACCTCAGCATGCAAGTCTCAGTGCAGAGAGTTTTAAAAACACCTGACAGTGGCCAAGGAGGGATCCCCCTGATCCTACCCACTACTGCACAGCAGCCTACGCCTTGACTGCTGCTGCCTACCATGGGCTCATGCTTACTTGGTTATCGTTCCATCAATATCAGAAATGATGACCTTGTCATTCCAATTCCACAGGTAAATGGTTCCCGCACAGCGGCAGGTACCTTGATACTGGGTTGTAATACTAAACACAACATCATTTGGGCCATCTTGGAGCTTCAGTTTTGCCTTTTATAAAAAGTAAGAGAATAAGGAAAATCATAGATAATTTATAAAATAAATGGGATATCACTTTGATGGAATTACGTACAATTAAAAATCAGTTTCCAATAATATACAGTCATTGAGAGATTGCTAAAATATAATGTTAAGTGAAGAAAGGATCCTAATCCCTAAATATGTGTGTGTGTGTGTGTGTGTGTGTGTACTTGTACAGGGGGATGTATAAGGAATGCAAAGAAGTACATGAATATGATTATTGTAATAAAAGGGAAAAAAACAGGTGAAAACAGAGTTTACAACAGAGTCTGAATATTTACATCACCACCACCAGTGTTTCAGGGCCTCAGCTCAAGGCAGGATGGTTTCTGTTGCATAGGCATGCACCCTGCCCAGCACAGCATGGAGAGCTTGCTCAGAAGAGGCTGAAGGAGCCACTGCCCGAATGATGTTCTGGAATTCTAAGCGATTTTTCGGATTCCCCCAAGAAACCAAACGTCTTTGCTCTTCCTCCATACCTGACAGTCCTGGGGCATAGCAAGACCATTTCAAACTGAAAACAGGGGGAAAGTAGTGGGAAACAAACAGGAAAGAGGAAACTGCATCTAAATAAGAAAATGGCATTTCTCTGTTGTTGTGGCTCCTAAAAGACAGTGTATGGCCCAGTGACGGGCTGGCTGGGCAAGACTCATCTGGGAAACAGGTTGAAAATACAGATCCCTTGGCTCATTCCCAGAGATTCAACTGGGACATCTGGGGTGGTAGAAGAAGCCATGTCCCAGGGGCCCCAGGTGGTTCCCAGGGGAGGGAGATGCGGTTCTACCATGTGTGAGCGTTTACATGAGCACATACCATGTCCTGTGCAGGGCTGGGGATAGTGTGGACAGAAGAGGAAGCACGGTTAATTAAACAGTTACTAAAATAAACTGACTGGATCCACACGGATCACACACGACTCACAATCTGATCTGAAGAGAGTCGAAGAGACTTCTTATATGAGGTTGTGCTGCCATAACTCGGGGGCTCTGTGGGAACAGGGTCCACCTTGATGGACTCTTCAAGCTCCTGTGACCCCTCATCGCTCGATGAGTCATCCTCAGCCGGCCTATTCAACAGCAATCCAGTTACTTAAGAAGCAGCAGGGCACTTCACTGAGAAGAACGTTTCATTTAGGAGAAGAGATCCTAAATCCACTCTAGGGATAAGAAGAGTTGTTCCTTCTGTTCCCTGAGTCTTCCTACCATGAAGTGAGGAGGTCACCCTCCTCCTCACGTTCAGACTAGCCAGCAGTTATAGTCTGGCCATGACTGATTATTTTCTGCCATGACCGTTGAATGCTACTAGGTCTACTGACCTTTACTGAAAAGGTAACAGACGTTTCAAAAGATGCAAACTGTAGAAAATATAATTGCTTACACAGATTTTAAAAACTATTAAGATAGATTTGCTATAACCTCTTTAACAAAAGTGGGCAAAGAGCAAGAAAATGAATGCTCAGGCTTAGACCAACCCCTGAATTAAAGAGCTGGAGCAGGAGAAGGAAAGAATCTGTTTGGGGAAGTGTAAGAACAGCTAGAATGAGAATAGGGTAAGTCTTGGCATCTTTGAGGGCCAGCCAAACCAAATATCTAGAGGGGTGCTACTTCTAAGAAATGAAATGGACCCACACCAATTTTGGAATTTTTAAAAAAATATTTAAGTAATCTCTATACCCAAAGGTGGGGTAGGGGGGCTAGAACTCATGACCCTGAGATCAAGAGCTGCATGTTCTACCAACTGAGCTGGCCAGGTGCATCATGAAATTTTCAGCATCTCCCTTTTGCACCTGATAGGAAGCCAGGGAGCAGGAACCAGAGACACCACATCTTAAGGCTCCTCAAGATCCCTTTCCCAAAGGCCTCCATTTCACAGGCATCTGGTTCCACAGCTCCAAGAATGGAGCATGACATTTAAAAAGCAGTGCTGAGTATGTTTACTCCTCTGAGCTGATATTTTTTTTCAGAAAAGCAGAAGTTATCATCTGCTACCTGAGTGGCACCAATAAGCCACTTACTGTCATGACTGTCCATTAGAGAAAGACATTTCTGACTAAATATTAAACAAAACTGTAAAATCAATTTGATTATAATGGCTACATAGCCCAGGGGTTATGAGCCCAGAGGAAGGACAGAGCACCCCACCTGCCACTGGCTGGCTCCTTTGTGCTCGATGCCAGGTCACTGGTTGGTGGCGCGTCGGATTTCCCTTCCTTGGCCTCTGGCAGCTAAAACAAGATAATAATAGCAATGTGCAATTTTTCCCTCCCAGCGACTGACAGGTAAAAACTTATCAGCAGCGCTCTCCAGGAATGAACAAAATGGTTTTCTGAATCCACAACTTAAAAATGCTTAAGAAACAGCCTTTTTCTATTTGTGCCAAAGGAAAGAAATCTGAGACAGAAGTCATATGCTGCTATGCAAAAAGCTGTTACTACAAAGCCACAAGTGAAAATTTCAAAAGGGCACTATTTCAAGTCACAGAATACAACTGGCCTATACTCATTATGTCTGGGCCAGGGACACAAGTACTACAGAACAGAAGTTACTGATACGACTGCCACTGCCATCTCCTCCTTGGGAGGAGAACAAGCTCTTGCTTCTGTTTGGAAAGTAACGCAGTGAGCAGAGGGGAAAGAACACAGGCTTTGGGGCTGGACTCATGGTCAAACCCTAGCTCCATCCCTCACCAGTTTTGTGTGCTTGGTCAAGCGACGTCACCTCTTTGCACCCATTTCTTTACCTCTAAAGTGGGAGCTTAAACATCTATACCATCGGGCTGCAGTGAAGGTGAAAGGCAAAATAAAGCACATAAGCACAGCACTTCCACATCTCACTGTTCCAAAATGGGGACTATTAATATTGTAAGAGAATAGCCCAAAATGACTTTCTTGTGTGTGGCAAAAAGGTTTTTTGAATAAATCAAAGATTCACTTCTTTGTAGCCCGTGGAAAAAATTACCTCTTCCAGGTCAGTTACCTGTTTGGTCATGCTTTCTCTCTTACGCCAAAACCACCAGCGACCAGACTTCTTTGGCATCTTATCTTTGACCCAGGACTCGACCGTGGCCTGAAACAATCAACTTGGGTCAGTCTAGCCATCTGTCTGTCACAAAGACCCAACTACTTTCTACCATCAGCCTGTAGGATGGTGCTTTATTATGGAATGTGAGCAACATTCTCCACATCTCCCCAAGTACTCTAGAGTCTGTAACACCAGTGAAAGGCAGATAGTTCTTTTTTTGTGGTGGCACAGCTCTGTGGTGGTTCTGTGGTAGGAGGCTGGGTGGTCTGGTTATAGAGAAGCAGTTGGGGGGGGCTGTCAGGCGGGATGCTGTCAGGCGGGATGCTCTCATTTCTCTACCCTTGGATAACATGTTCTTTATGCGTTAGACCAACTAAGCTGATACACAGATTTAGAACCTTTAGGTTCTACATAAAAGGCTTATTAGCCACAATTTGACCCAATCACACAGATGCCACACTTCTGGTGGCCACACCACCCTCTTCTTGCTGCTTCTTTCCTTATTAATGAGGAATTTTTTTCATTCATTCTGTAGTTAGCTAATAACTAATAAAATCTCCCAACTTTTATACCCAGTCAGAAACCAGTATAAATATCTAATAAAAATGACAAAGATATGGCAGCCCAGCAAATTTCCTAGATTTTGGGGATGAGATAATTTGGGTGGGCACACAGAACTCTTTGGGTCTTCTCAAATATTAAATTAATTTTAAACAAAACTTTGACCATAGTACGCAGTTTAGAAATGTGCACATATTGATATTTCTAAATATCATATGCTGTAGATACTTTCAAAAATGAAAAGAAATGGATCATCTCACCTTTGGCAGACTCTTCTGGAATACTTGCAAGCTAAGGATCATGGGAGCAGCCAAAGCCCAGTTATAATAACTGTGTGAAATAAAAATTGTGCAAAACCATTACACAGAGAAGGGAAAGAGCGAGAGTACAGGCAGGGGAAGAGAAGAAAGGAGAGAGAAGAGAGGATAGGCGTAAGACATAAAATTCCTTATTGTTTTCAGTGAGATGGTCAGCTAAATTTCTGGTCACATGAACGACCTTTGCTTCAAGCCAAACTTCTCTGAGCAGAGATGCAGTTAAATAACTAAGACAATAACATTTTGATGCTTCACTGAAAACTAAGGCTGAGGCTTCTCTTTCACTTTAAAATCATTGTCCACTAGTTCATTTATAAGAAATGGCACATTTTATGGCAAGAAAACTATAACGATTAAAAAGAGCACTTTGAAAAAAAACAAAACTCTGCAAGACTATTTAATAATTACAAAAGCAGGAGTATTTACCGATTATAGATCCGTATTACAAGGTTAGGATTGTCTATAAGCCCAGGATTTTCTGCAAATTCGTGATAAGTAATTATATGCTCCATGAATTTTTCTGCAATGTAAAATAGTAATGACCCTTTGGTTAGAGATTACATAAATTCCCAAATGAGATCATCACAATACTCTACACTGAAGGAACTACAGCATAAAATGAGGGATAGAATGAGTCCTTTAAAAAGAAAAAAAACTTTTTTACATTCGTCAAAAGCAAAATATCACTTTTTAATCCAGCGCAAGAAAGAACACTTCCTTTTTCTATCCTTCCCCTCTTCCACAACTACTCTCACTCAAAAACAAAAACAAAAAACAAAAAAACCCACAACGACAACAAAAAAAACACAGGAAGGATACGTCAGAGACTTTTAGGAAAATAAATTACAGATGTGGCAAGAGAAAGGAAGACACAGATACACGTGTGTGCACACACACTCTAGAACTAATAAAAACTGCAGTTTCATTCTTAGCACAGACAATAAACTTTACTAGGAAGCAACTGTGAAACTAGGGAATATTCATGGGACTCTTAGAGTATTAAGTGCATGTTACATTAAAAAAACCAAAACATTTTACAATTGCTTGGAGGAAAAAAAACGAAAAAACACACCAGAATTTGGTTTAGGGTCTGTCAAGGAATGAATCCCAAGTTCTTGAGAAATAAATGAAGATTCTGCATGAATTTGTGTGCTCTGTTCCTAAACCCACACTCTAGTAGATCTAAGCTAACAGATAATTTCTCACCAGGATTGTTCCTCCTGGTGATGTGTATATTAATTACCTTTACTTGCCATTTCTGCCTCCTCCAATAACAAATTCTACCTAAGTTACCCAGATTTTTTAAAAATGTAAATTCTATAGTCTGTATAACTGTGTATTTTCCATTCCACCCCCCACCTATAATTTTTAAAGTGAAGGCTTATGGGGACTGAGAATTACTGGCCATAACGGACTCTTAATTTCTTGCAAATAATAAAACAAACAAGAGTTAAGAGATGGAGAAGAAAGAGGCATAATGAGCACCGTGTGACCTTCAAAAAGAAAAAGATTCAGCAAAGCACAACTATAACGCTCGGGGTACCCAGTCTGCCAAACACAGGACTTCAGCTGCTCCGAGGGGCAGAGAAGACAAAAGATGATACTACTAGTCCTGGAAGGAAAATCTTTCCTTAGAGGAAAATCAATCAGAGGCCATGAGCCAAACTGAGAAAATATGAAGAATTTAGGTTACAAAGGAAGGTAAAGCCAGAGAGGCCAAAGAACTTGGGAAAGACACACACGACTGCTTGACCTACCCCAGAGTCATCTGAATTGGCTCTGCTAAAGATTCTTCCTTTCTCTGGAGCAAATGTACTTTCCAGGGCCAAGTCTCAAGACTAGGATAGAAAATAACCCCTTCTACTTTTTGCTGGAAAGACAAATTTCCTCAACGGACAATTAATTTTCCACAACTTCAGGCCCTACTCTCATGTCTCAGGCCCAGCGCTTTCCAGGGCAGCTGGGTCCCCGTCCACACACATTTCAACTTCACAGATGAGAAAATGGACACAGCCTGAGCTAACCCTTGCTGCTTCGTAAACAGGGCAGTCTGAGAATTCTCCCTCTTCAAGTGAAATGAGCACCTGCCAAGGTACTGTCAACTCACCCAAGCCATTTATTTTTAAGGTCAACCCGTACGAGGTACCTTAAATGAGGGGCTGAAGATCTGACATTAAAGGGAGATACTTGTTACTTGCACAAGGTCATTAAAGAATTTAATATCCTGAGTGGCTAACCAGCAGGTTTTCTATCATGTGATGACCAGGCTGCTTTCTCCAGGGAAGACAAGGCACAACAGCTTGACATACCTTTGGAAATCTCTCCGTTTTCACTGAGACCCCCACAAAGGGAGAGGGTGACATCAGGCAAGTCCATGGCAGAATCGGAGAGGCACTCGGTGCCACTATCTGCAGCCGCACTTCCCACAGACTGTGGGGATTGGGAGCCGGAGAGCGTGTCAGACTCAGGCCACTGCCGGGAGCCAGGGTCCGATTCACTGTGGGCAGCAGATGGGGAGAAAAGGATCTGCCTTATTGCAACTTCTTATATTCCTAGCTTACTACATGGTTCTCTGGGGGCCTGAACCAAGTAATTTATCCCATTAAAAAAGGAACAGACTGACCTATGGACATAGCTTTTCTTAGGTAGAGTTTAGGATCATATCATAAATGACATTAAAAATAACCTAATCGCACTGCTGAGGAAGTAACAGTGAATACAGTATAGGTCACAAAAATCACTACAGTCACTCCCAGTAAGACAAACTTTTCAACTACAGGCTTTCTGATTTTAATTAAAGGAGTAAAAGAGTTATAACCATTTATTTACATTTCCATGATGAAAATGACGGCGTAATTAAGAAAAATCTGATGTTTGGAAAGCTTTGATCCTAACTTCCTAGAAAAAGTGGTGGTACTATACACATCCTGTAGAAAATTACTATGGTTCAGAGCTGTCTAGGCTTTTCTAAATTCATCTGTTACTTCGTAAAACAAAGAAATTAAGCAAGAGAAAATTCTCAGGAGTGTAGACCCACCCTGAAACAAAGATTTTGAGAAATAAACTATAAACAAACTGTTCTTACACTAGACAGATTCAGGACTAAAGGTGAAGTTAATTCATTTTCCTAGATGATAAGGGCATGGAAGCCAGGTTTTAGAAGATGATCCTGAGGGAAACTTTGTAATGAAGTATAAATCTGAATGAAAAGGATAAGGAAATGGTACCTTAAGTTTCTTATTCATGAATGCTTACTGCTCCACACTCTTTGAATGGACATTTAATGTCACACTGAAAAGCTGTTCTAAAAGTTTCAAATTCTTTTATTTTATTCAAAAAGCCAATATACTTAATGTATGTGATTCAATTAAGCTTTATGATCTTAAGAAAAAAACTCAAATTTGAGTAGTAGCTGGCAGCAAGGTATGGATAGGCCATAAATAGAAAGCAGTTTCCAAAGCTATTATGTTTTGCATTTGAACCAACAACCCAGATTCAGGTTTCTGGAAATTTTCTTTCCTAATAGCAATGCATACCCAGTCTACAATATTGAGATTAGTTAGATCAACAGAATGTTCTTCTCATTGGAAATGGTGAAAAAGCCAAAGCTGATGTAAAGCAGCAAAATCTAGTATGTTGGCATCAGAGAGCGAGGCTGACCCCCGGGTAAAACACAAACAGGGCCCTGCTTTCTCCTGGGCCCATGGCTAGGTCCCCCTGTAGTCAGATGTGGCCAAGTGACCATATGACCGAGTTTTAAGATGTGGACAGAAGGGGTGTGCTGTGCCCCTCCCAAGCCCGGCTCCTGAAAACTCCCCTGTGAGTCTTTCTCTTTTCCCTATGGAAGCCCTAAGGGAATGGTGGAGCCTCAAGATGGAAGAAAAGCTGTGCTCCTGAATCCCTGGGAGTAAGGCGTCTGGCACCAAACATCAGCACTGGAATACATGAGCAAGAAATAAACTTCTACTGTGGTAAGCCACTGAGGTCCAGTGTTTTATCAGAGCAGCTGGTGTTATCCTAACCAATGTAACCTCTAAATACATGGAGGATGCCATCTGACTCAACATGTTGCCAAATCTACAAGGGCAGTGTGACTTACATCAATGTTTAGCTATAATTACAAATACTGGATACTTAATGAAGAGGACATGGATCATGACAATTAACAAAACAAATGGTGATAAGCGTTATATCAGTCCCACTACCTTTTAAGTATTTATAAAATGTCTCAGAAATAGGCTAACTTGGTGAATGGGCAATGACCTCAGGCAGTCAAATTATAATACAGCATAGTAAGGTTTCATTGCATTTCACTCTCATTTTTTAATCAATCAATCAGTTTCTCCCCATTTTTAAAAAGGGAAACTAAAAATATCAATCCTTGGAATATCAATAAATAAGGACTGTGAAATCTGAAAGTGGTAATTCTAAACTTACATTTTAACTTTCCTATTCAAAAAACATGGAGCACTTCTAGTTCTTTCACCTTAAAAAACCCAACTACTACTTCATGTGAAGAACATATTTTAAGACAAAGTTAGGGCAGAGAGCTAGGAAAGAATTTTAAGGACTTTCCAAAAATATCTATAAAAAAATTTAAACATATCAACCCCATCTTTCCATTTTAAATAAAAACTTAAAATGTTTTTCCATAATTTCTAAATACTTAATTATGTGTATCTATAACTCAGTATATTCAAACCATACCTTCCATGAGAAAAAGTAAATTGATTTTTGTAATCAGAGTCTTATAATGGAACTTCCCTACGGATAGAAATGAACTTAGGAGAACAGTACAATACACTGTATCTGAGGTTTTAAAGTTATTCAAAGTGGAAAATTGTGAGGTGGGGGGTGACAAATGGTGAGAGCTCTAGGGAAAATGTAGGGCTCACACCAGCTGGAATGGTGTCTCACTGGGCCCAGCCAAAGTTCACCTGGGAACTCAGACTCACTGAAGGAGTGAAGGCATTCTTTGTAAAATGTGTTTGAATAAAGATATATTACCTTTAAAACATAATAAATGGAATATGCTGATGAACTTTTATTGCATTAATGACTGTAAGATTTGCTAATGTGAAGTCATAACCATTGGTAAATCGTTACATAGGTTTAACTAGTTTACCTCTTCTCGTTATACTGAAAATTTCTTTGTAAGTAGGTAATACGTAAATTATAATAGGTAAAGAGGTAAATTATTAGTTTCAAATCACTACAGTCCAAACAACACACAATTTCTGAATTTCCCAAAATCTGAAGCAATCATCCAACTTAGCTAAAGATCTCCATAACCTTGCTCCTTTTTCACAGAATGTTTTGATTTAAAAACAGCCACTATATTTCACAGCTAGTCACCCTTCAACATCTAAAAAATACACTACCTCTTAGGGAAATAGAGGGCTGCAACTTCAGGTTCTAAAGCCTTTAAGTCATCCAGGTAAATATCATCAGGTCCCTGGTGCTGGCTTCTCTTGTGAACACCTATTTTTATAAGAAAAATGCATCAAAAGTAAGAACTTAAGCTATTCTTCATTCACAACTCTTCAAAAAAACAAAGGTTTTACAAACTATTAAGACCAACTATGATTCAAACTGTATTTTATTTTTAAAGATTTTCTTTGACAGAGAGAATGAGCAAGAGAAAGAGAGCAGGAGAAGAGGGAGAAGGAGAAGCAGACTCCCTTGCTCAGCAAGGAGCCTGATGCGAGGCTCAATCCCAGGACTCCAGGACCATGACCAGAGCAGAAGGCAGATACCTAACTGACTGAGCCACCCAAGTGTCTCAACTGCATTTTATTTTTAAAGGTTTCAATTAACCTTTCCACTGTGTTGGTTCTCAAGCATCCATGCCAATGAAAGAGAAATTCGGTGTTATACACATAACAGTTGTACAATAAACACACGCTAACTTCTTTCATGTGCTTTTAGATGAATAATCTTAGCACCTGAATCATTTAGATTTCATGATAAAGTCTTCTTAGAATATGAATAGGTATGACCAAATCTGATGAAATCACTGGCACTGAGAAAGAGGTCATTATTTTAAAACTGTGAGGGAAAGGTTGCTATAAACAGGGGAGTCATATGGTGCCAAATTATTACCAAGCATTACCTTATGATTGCAAAAGGACAAAATCCTTTACAATGGATAAATCTGGCAGACAACACCTTAAACAAGTGGTGTTATATATATATATATTTATATATATATATATATAATATAAATATATAAATATAAAAAAATTTTAAAAGCTAGGGGGAGAAAAAATGAGATACTAGATAAAGTACTCAATATGTCCTAGAGGTAATCTTCAACTCAAAAAATAAACAATGTTGAACCCAAGTCTAATTAAGCCTCTAGACCTGTACTGCCCACTCACTATAACAAGTCACCAGTGTCCTAGACTAAGCTATATAAATTGTGGTAAAAAATGTGTAAAACACACTAGATTTCTAAGTCTACTATAAAAAATGTAAAATATCTCAATTTTTATATTGATTACATGTTAAAATTATAGTTTGGACTTACTAGCTCAGAATATATTACTAAACTTAATTTCACCTTTTTTTTTTTTAATGCGAGAAGATTTAAAATAGCATATGTAGCTCACTTTGTTAGTGAGCTACTAGAGCCTACTTCTAGTTTAAGGAAATATGGGGATATCACCTTGGGAAAAAAACTATCAGATACATCCAGAATGTGAGAAAGCATACAAGAGGATTGGATGGGCTCTTGAAAAGATCAGTATCACGGGTGCAGAGGGGGAAAGAGGTGCAGTGGTGTGTGTATAGGAGTGAGGGAGTATGTGTGTGGGCAGGGCTATTCTAAATTAAAAAAGGTTAAACACAAGAACCACATGCAACATGTGAACCTTAATGAGATCTTGGTTTGGGAAAAAAAAAAAAACAGCTAAAAAGCTTTCCTTGGAACATTTGGGGAAATATGAACAGATGACAATGGTCCTGTGGTTATGCAGACAGTGTTCTTATTCTTTTAAGGTATATCTTACAGTGTTTAAAGGCGAAATGTCACAAAGCTTGCAAGTTTTTCAAATGGTTTGAAACAATAAAAAAACTGAGTGGAGAAAGAGAGGAAGAAAGCAAATATGTATAAAACTTTCTGATAACAAGCTGGGGGGAGGGGCGCGGGGGTGGCTCAGGAGGTTAAGCCTCTGCCTTTGGCTCAGGTCATGATCTCAGGGTCCTGGGATCCAGCCCTGCATGGGACTCTTGCTCAGCAGGGAGCCTGCTTCCCCCTCTATCTACCTGCCTCTCTACTTGTGATCTGTCAAATAAATAAAATCTTTTAAAAAAAATTTAAAAAGCTAGGGGGAGAAAAAATGAGGCCAAATGAATGGTAGAAACCACTCGGTGTTCCTATCTGTTAGTTCCACACTATGTGCTAAGAATAGGGGTCATTATTTCCCCCTAAGGGTCACCATGTGGTAGGAATGGGGGTCATTATTTTCAGACCAAAACAAAGCATTCACCCTGAAAACTGGATTTTCCTCCTTACCAGTTCTTAGAGTAGAACACATGATTATGGGCCTTTGGTTGCTGAGCTATGGAAGAGCAGGTACCAAGTTAAGCTGGATCATCAGCTAGATGATCATATTTGGCCATAAATACCCTTGCCAAATTATTTTAAATAAGTTTTTTTTTAAATTTAAATTCAATTTAATTAACATATAGTGCATTTATTAGTTTCACAGGTAGAATTTAATGATTCACCAGTTGCATATAACACCCAGTGCTCATTCCATCAAGTGTTCTCCTTAATGCCGATAACCCAGTTACCCCATTTCCCCCACCCCAATTCCCCTCCAGCAACAGTTTCCTACAGTTAAGAGCCTCTTATGGTTTGTCTCCCTCTCTGTTTCGTATTTTATTTTTCCTTCCCTTCCCCTATGTTCATCTGTTTCTTAAATTCCACATACAACTGAAATCATACATTTGTCTTTCTCTTAACTTATTTCCAAGTGACTCTGAAGGTCCACACCTGTAGTCATTATTTATTAGGTCAATTTGTGATGATTTAACCTTGAGTGTATTTTCAATTTTTAGGTAAGGTTTTATTTCCCTAAAAAAATAGGGTTCAAGGCCAGTGTTCAGAGAGTATGTTCTGGTTCTTAACTAAACTAAAAACTGTCAATGGACAACTTTGTATTTTTAAATAGTAAGAATGTTCTGATTTATTAAACCTGTATTCCAAAAGTGAGATAGTGCTATTGAGCCGAGTCAGACCCAATCTTTTATGTTTCAGAGGGCAATTATCAATGAAAGAAGAGAAAACATACTAAAATTAAGCATACATTTATTTATTTCCCATGTTACTGGAAAAAACGTAATTAATTTGGCCTCAACTAACCTTAGAGATGTTTCAGGTGAAAACATTTTTCTCTCATCCAATTTTTTCTTTTTGAACATATAATCTTTGGGGGATTCCACTTCACTTTATTGGCATACGTGTCAATATAATGGTTAATTTTATGGATTAACTGATTTGAACATGCTCATTAATTTTTTTTCAGTAAATGCCTCCGAAGGGTGTACTGAGTAGGAGCAGTTGGGAGGGAGCAGGGAGAAAGTGAGAGTCTTGCTCTAATGGAATCTGTAATGCAGTGGGGAAGCCCTATCAAACAAGCAATGCTCACAGTATGTGCTAGGTCTGGTCAGGGGAGTATAAATACAAAGGTTGCCATCATGTATCATTTGAAATGCAGAAATAACTTATCTAAATTTACAGTACCTGATGCCAAATCAAACAAATGATTACCTTTCTTCTTTGATGGTGAGTCTACTTTCACTGCAGGTTTTGATTCTGAGGGGGCCTCCACCAATGATGGGTTAGGAAGGTGGTCTGCATCTAACATAGATGAAATCTGAGGCTGCTCCAGGGGAGGTTCAAGAAGTTCTGCAGCGGAAGTCGCACTGCTTATCTGCTTACACAGGGCTCTGGGTTTGGGTTTCACTATGGTACAGACCGTTTCTCCCATGGAAGCATCTTTCTCAACTTCACTTATGAGGTTGTCCTCACTGGGAATTACCCGAAAATGGGTATTTTCTGATGGTGTAATTGTAGCTGTCCTAGGATGATGGTCAGATCTCTCTCTTTTGCTGACCTAAAAAAAAGTTTAATTGTTTAAAAATTAAACTACCTTCAAAGGTGCTTGTTAAAATCTATTTCTTAAGCTGGATGCAGGTAATTGAACGCATTTTATTTGTAACAACACATTTAGTTAACATATGATTTCGTATGTGTGAGGTATTTCATAATTAAGAAGTGGGGAAAACTAATAACTGCATTTTGTTCAATATCACGATATCTACAAAAAAGTTCTATTTCAAACTGCTATACTATGAAGAGTTAAACACCAAAGAAGACTAAGGAAATAGGACAAGTTTTAGATGCTAAGAGGAAGAATATTCATTTTCAGGGAGAAAAACTTGTGTGCTATGTGAAAATTTAGCCCTGCTTGGACTATACCTCAAGACTCTGTTAACAGTGTAAAGTGGGTAGTCAAATCTCAATGCAAATCAAACATATAAGCAAAATGTGTATTAAAAAAAACTTAGAGGGTCTAAATATTTTCTCTCTCAAGTAATGTACTTTTCCAATTCTTTCATTATGATCTGTGAAGAAGTGAAAAAAAAAGTGAAAAAGCTTTCATAAAGTCCATTTCTTATTTAAAACTTAAGTGTGGAAATTTTAGTTTCCTTTAGGTACCTTTTAAATGTTTCTTATTAAAATGTTAACTAACAATCAACATTATTTACTAAATAGAACACATGAAATAATGCTGGATTCCTTCTGTTGCAGTCATGAAAAATGTTAACTTTGGATTTCCTCATGTGACCACATGAGGGCACTACCATCATTTATATTCAGGTGCACTAGCTCAGAAATCACCCCTCCCCACTTTACCCAATGACAGAGACACCTCACAGGTTTTCAACTGGACATACTCCACAGGCAAGAAAACATTAGTACCTTGGTAGACTCTGGGAACCCACCCCACGTCCACTCCATGTGGGACTCAGATCTGAGCAGACTCTCAGCAGGTTTCACCTCCAGCTCTGAATCACTCTTAGGACACACTGCTCCTGGGGAATAGGGACTGTAAACACAGGACGAAGAAACGTGATGCCTTTTAACTCCGCGAACTTCAGTCTGGCTGAGCTCAACAAATTACAAGAAATATAAGTTTGAACATATCAACTTTATCCTGCCAATATAAAGATTCTATTGAAGGGAATATCAATTACATCTTCCATTTGAGTTCTTTAATAATAGTAAAACACCAACCAGTATCTATTGAGGACTTGCTGGGTTCCCTGCAAACGCTTTATATGCATTATCCCACTGATTCTCACAAGAAATCAATGAGAAAGGTAATTTTACAAGAGATGAACTGCACAGAGACATGGGTTAAATTAACGTAATACATAAGATAAACTGGATTTGAACAAAAAACAAAGTGTGACTGCATGTTTCTTCACATTATCCACAGTTATAGTTAAAAGTTGACACTTTAAGATTAGAATTCAAGAATTGTAGAGGGCCAAATTCTAAGCTGATCATGCAGATCTACACTAACCAACACTGTGAGCGTAAGTCAGATCAAGTTTAGGAACAAAATAATTATTGAGAGGAAAGGTACATATTCATGTCACAAGTACATATTCATTCAGTTCTCCTGCATGAGAGAAATGGGAAATATTATTACTGTCATATGACAGGAACTGAGAAATCTTGAAAATACTTACTTGTCTAAAGGGGACCAGTCTCCATCAGATAAGGGGTAGTGATCCCCAGAATGGAAGAGCAAAGGTTCCTTATATTCATCTTCCTTTAAGGAAGCATTTGAAGATCCTCTGTGAAAGGCAAAAAACGAAGTCATGAACAATGACATTATTACATCAGCTTAAAAATATCCCCAAATCTACTGACACATGTTTAGATGGTACAAATGAAGAAGGAAGGCCAAGTGATTAATAACTAAAAGGAAAACAGGAAAGAGAAGGGGGATTCACTCATGCCACCTACCATACACTACTACAATCACTACTGAAGTATGGGATAAACAGGAAGAACCGAAAAGAAGATGTGAATCAAAATTCCTTTTTACAGCCCTTCAAAGTAATTGATTCAAAGGCCAGAAGAGGAAAACTAAGGCTTTATGTCTATTTCATTCGATCCTTACAAATCCAAGGAAGACTATCCTATATCTGATCAAGGATCCAGAGAAGTTTAGTAAATCAAAGAACTAGTAAGTGGATGAATTCAAAACAAGTAAGCCCTTGCTCTTTCACTATACTCTCCTGTATATTACAGCAAATACAAGACTATGAGTTGAAAACGAGCTATACTGCTTGTCGAAAATATCCTAAAAACTCTTAAAAACATATAGAACTTATTTTTCTTTTTGTTTGGGCCAAGAATTACCTAAGAATGATACAATGATGATATAATGATGATACAAAAGCACAATAAATGCTTTTAAGATTCATGGAGACCTCAGAACTATAGGAGGATGAACTAATGCTAATAAGGTTTTAATTAATTTACCCTTTGGTTTTCTTGAATTTGCATAGTTAATGTAACTAACCTGCCATATAACCTTGAAAACATCCCTCAGAAGCACTGTGGGCCCTAGCTGTTCATCTTTAGTTGGAAATTTACCACTTGTCCCATTTCAGAGTGTTATTTATCAAAATAAAATAAAAACCAATTTTAGGGGATGCCTGGGTTGGTTAAACATCTGCCTTCAGCTCAAGTCATGATTTCAGGATCCTGGGATTGAACCCCAAGTTGGAGTCGGAGTGGGGCTCCCTGCTCAGAGGGGAGTCTGCTTCTCCCTAAATCCCTCCACACCCCTCCCCCTGAGCTTGTGCTTGCATGTGCATGCACATCCTCTCTCAAATAAAATCTTTAAGAAAAAAAAAAATAACTTCAGGTATTTCTCTGGACACAGAATTTCTTTCCTAAGTGTAGGGGCCTGAGGAGGATAAAATATCTGAAAGCTGCAAACTTTCCAACCCCACCTAATTCCTACCTTGCACAACTGCAAAAGCAGTTGACTTTCTATTCTTTTTTTGATTCTTCGACTTGTTTAACATGCTGTTAATACTTTTGACCCTCAATATCTTCCCCCCAATTATTTTAGAATCTAGATGCTGAGCTGGAAGGGGCCTTACCAACCATGTAGTTCAATTCTCTTGTTTCATAGATTAAGAAACAGGCCCAGAGGCGCTTGGGTGGGTCAGTCCGTTAAAGGTCTGACTCTTGATTTTGGCTCAGGTCATAATCTCAGGATCCTGAGATAGAGCCCTGTGCTAGGCTCTGTGCTCAGCGGGGAGTCTGGTTCCCTCCTTCTCCCTGCTCACGCTCTCAAATAATAAATAAATCTTAAAAAAGAATTAAAAAAAGAAAGCCCCAGATAAGAGGGATCAAGTAGCTGTTGTTCCACAATCAAAAACAGAACGGGCCTAGTCTTCTACCTTTCAGCTCAGCATTTATTTCCGTATACATCTGACCTGAATTCCCATGACTGTCACATTTTGTCCTTTTTTTAAAGTCCTAATTTTCTGTTGGCTACATAATTAAGCAGATCTCGTTTTAGGGAAATTTTAGGAAAGAGTTCCTCCAAGTGGCAGTATCTATGATCCATGGTAATCTAAAGAAAAAACAAGCCACTAAACTCCTAAAAATTATTACAACACCCTAATTTACATGCATTCTGACATGCCTGCTTCCCATGCAAGTAAGATTCTGGCTTGGAGAGAGAGTGGATAATCTAACTGCCGACCAAATCAGGACTCTGATAGATTTGGCTGATGCAGCCTTTTGTACGATCTGGAAAAGTGAGGCATGTGCAAGTATTTTTGTAATGCATTCATTTACAATGCTTGTGTACAAAACATTTAGAATAATGATTCTCGTGCATTTAGTAGGCAACTCTGCATATGTTTTAGAAATGTCTTAACTTCCTAAACTGAAGCTGCAGGTTGTTCAAGAATTCTAAGTTTTGGGGTGCCTAGGTGGCTCAGCTAGTTAAGCTTCTGACTCTTGGTTTTGGCTTTGGTCATGATCTCATGGTTATGGGATCAAACCCCACACTGGGCTCAGTGCAGAGTCTGCTTCAGATTCTCTCTACCTCTCACTTGAGCTCTCTCTCTCAAATAAATAAAATCTTAAAAAAAAAATTCTAAGCTTTGCTCAATTATGTTATAATAAAAGACACACATCAATAAACTTTGATGGCAAAAGTGTTACTTCAGTGTCCTTTCTGGTGGATCTTGGAAGAACTGTAGGCAGAACTTTAGGGTCACTTGTGGGCAGCAACTTCTTGTCCAATGCTCATCAATAAAGTAAACCACCCTGCTGATACACATATGGTCCTCTTCCAGTGCCAGAGCAACCACTGAGTGGAACAGATCTAAGATAACCTTTTAAAAATCAAAATCTTAAACAAAAAAATACATGTTCTACCCCCAACTGTTACCTTTTAAACCCTAGGCACTGTTGACTTGACAACTGGCATATATTTTAAGCTCTTCTACTGAGCTGGTAAGTAAGAAGTAATCAAGATTTCTCACTTTAAAAAAAGCCAAAATGACAAAAATCCTCCTTTCCTCTTCAACTTACTAGGAATGTTTTGATGATAAACTCTAAACAACAACTCTCAACTTTTCAGAAACAGATGAGATACCAAGATGCCGAGTAAGGATATACACCCAAGGCTGCCCAAGGGCCAAGTCACTAATTCAGATCTTCTTTGTGACTTACAATTCATTTGGGTTTTTGGAAACCTACTATAGATGGAAAAGACACACACTGCTAGTCTGCTTCAAGTGGTATTTTAATACCACAGCAGGATGTCTGATGGCAAATTTTATAGAATAGCAGAAAGGAAAAAAGAAAATGCCTCTTCCACTGATTCCACAGGAAAAACAAGTCTAAACCTCACACTGTAGCTCTACAGAAGAAACAACAGCAACCAGCTGGACCTGAGCTCTGTCCACAGCGTGTGCACATGACCAGCACCTGCAGGGAGAGCCCACCTTGCTGACTGGACCCCCTTGTCGTCATCAGAGCTCATTTCCACATCCATGGTATCCTCTGCGGCAGCGGAAGCAGTCTGGTCTTCCTTCTTACTGTCCTGTTTGCATTTCTTTCTCCTTCGTTTTTTCTTTTTCACAGAACTTGAAGTGAAAACCGTTTCTGTTTCCAAGATGTGTGAGATGTCTGAACTCTGAGATGATCTTTCATTTCCACCAGATTTCTCCAAAGGGGCATCAATATCTTTAAAGAACTGGTCTTCAGTAGGAATTGGTGAGGTGGCAAGGTAAGCAGGGAGCTTTTCCTTAAAAAGAACATGAAGAAAGAAAAATTCTCCATGACAAAGTGGACAGTGAATCAAAAACAGTAACAAACTCTTTGTGTATCTAAATTCACAGTAGTAGAAAGAATAACAGTCCCCAACTAAGAGGGTCACACTGAACGAAGTCACTGCCCACTCTGCTCTGAAAGATCTTTACCCTGGCACAAACAAATCGTTCATCTGGTCCATGTAACTTAATGAATTTGAAGGAACTGATATACCAAATTAGCACAAAGCCATGAAAACTAAAGTTAAAGCACAGCCGATTAAATTCTCTGCAATGGGAAGTTCAAAGTAATGGCAGCATTCCAAGGAGACAGTACGAGGCACTTTGTCAAGAACTTACAAAGTACGGTAACAGGATAAAGCAGAAGGCAGGGATCAGAAACACCCCATCAGATGGTGGCAGCAGGACAGATAAGTGAAGTGAGGATCTATAGTAAAATTCGTGTTTTCTAAATTAAATGAGGGTGGAAGAAGGTGATTAAGATAGACAATACCCTGTTAACAAATGAAATTAGTAGATTTTAAAATTGTAATGTATTCAAGATAGCCTTTCAGGAATTCAAAAGAAGAAAATAAGGCCCAATAGTCAGAAATAATTAAACTCGTGGGGGGCCTGGGTGACTCAGTTAAGCATCCCACTCTTGATTTCAGCTCAGGTCATGATCTCAGGGTCCTGGGATTAAAACCTCTGTTGCGCTCCATTCTGAGTGGGGAGTCTGCCTGAGATTTTTTTCCCTCTTCTTCTGTTCCGCTGACCCCACTTGCGCATGTGCTTTCTAAAATAATTTTAAAAGGTAAATAAAGAATTAAACTTATAATTTAATATCAAATAAATGATCAAGTCTGCTGTTCAGAAAATTAACTTCTTAGTCACTGACTTCATCCCTTTGTTTCGTGGGGGAAATGGAAGGTATGTAATAGAGATATAAATTAACCTCAAATAACCTAAAATACTCAAATTTTTACATAATAGTCCTGAAAAATGAATGAGTTTCCATAATCAAGCTTTTGAATTTGGCTTTGGTAGACATATTACCCCAAAGCCAAAATTTTGTTTATCCAAGCAAAATGTGTGTTCACCAGCAACACACACTTACAGAGGAACTGTGATAACAGGATATTATTCTGCATGCCCCCAGGGCACTCAAGTGACAGGCTGTGGCCTCTAACCTCCAGAGCCTTTTAATTCAATGGTCCTTGTTATAAGTAAGTTCACTAGTACTTCTTAAAAGCTGTTTCATCTCCGGCGGCATTTCCTAGGTCTGTTATAGCACTGTTTGCAGTTTATGGCACAGGGGTGGGGAGCAGGGAGCGGGGGACGAAACAACCTAAATCTCTGTCAGAACAAGGATGGCTAAACTGTGATGCGTCCAACTGTGGATGACTGGGCAACTATTAAAAGGATGGGGACAGATCTAGAACTACATGCTTCAAAAGGATCTAACAATATATAGTTTAGATGAACCAAGTTTAAGAGAAACAAAAATGTAAATAAATGGAAGACAGATGGGTTTTGGTAACATTTATTCCCTTTAAAACTGTAAAGTCCTGGAGAGTGGGGGCATGTTATATTCATAGTATGTGACACTGAGTAGTAATCCCAATGCTGTTGGATGAATTAACTTTTTTTGCTTTAAAGACTTACTTTATTATTATTTTTTATTTTTGACAGAGACACAACAACAGAGGGAACACAAGCAGGGGGAGTGGAGGAGGGAGAAGCAGTGTTCCCTCTGAGCAGGGAGCCCTGATACAGGGCTCCATCCCAGGACCATGACCTGAGCAGAAGCCAGACGCCTAACGACTGAGCCACCCAGGCATCCCCCCAACTTTTTTTTTTTTTAAAGAGCACACTATTCTAAAGAAAATCTAAACAATTTGATGATACATGGAATAGGGAAAAAAAGGGTAGAAACTTGACACTCTGCAAGTTAACCTTGCTAAGCATAGTCATAAATGGAATCATCAGAGCTGACCACAAGAACCAGGTAACAAACTATCAGTAACCCAGTCCTTTCACTTGTTGATACAAAACCTAATCCATCACTCTTCTGAAACACACATGATTTTAAGGAACACATAAAAAATATTTTATTCATGTGATAACTCATTTATTGTTTCCTTCTCCTTTTTGCTTCAGTCTCTGATGAGGAAAAATTTTGTCTGCACCAAGTAAACATGAATGAGGTAATAGAAAAACAAGTAATTAAGGTACTAGAAAAAATACTGGTCTGGAAAGGTTCCCTTTCATAATCATGCTTTGTAATGCTGCTTTACATATTGGTATCTAAATTGTTGGCTTCTCTCTAAAAATGATCAACAATCTCATTCTGCTATTATTTTTTAAGTGATGTTTTTCTTTGTCAATTTATGACATCCAACATGAAGTACATCTTCAAAACCCCCAAAAGTAGTCCTATATCTTTAGTAACTTAAAGGTTATCATTTTCGCTGAGATTTTATTCTTTATGGTAAAAGCTGTAAAGAAGCCTCTTCTAAGATCCACAATAACTCCATCAAGAACAGCTTACGATCATTCACATCAGTAGATATGTGGGGTGCAGTTGGGGGAGAGAACAAACTATCTTACTGAAAGAAGCCAAAGATGCAATAATCATTTAAAAAGATACAGGCTAATTAATTTAAATTTCTTGAGACATAATAAACTAATTCTCAAGACTATTCAAGGTTAGAGATCCAACAACCCTAACCAAAATGTTAAATACATTTTCCAAGTTTAAAAGTCACACTTGTACGACACACAGCCTGCAGAGATATGCCTTCATTATTTAGGTAGAACTGAACGTATTTAAGTTAAGGTGTAAATGCTACCAGATACTAAATAAGAAAGCTTATTAAAGACAGAAAAAGGCAAGTGCAAAGATGTTCTGCACATTCTCTGTACCCTGACACTTGGTGGGGAGAAAAGTTCTTCACTCCTCCAGCTCCTTCCTCACAGCTTAGTTTTTCAGCCTAAAACTAAAGCTTTTTTAACCTGTAATAATCACCTCTATAACCATGAAAACTGCTGAACATTTCTGTTTTGGGAAAGGTCCTGGAGGCCTGAATACGATGTGTAGAGTGGATGTAACCTACTAGAACTTACATATTCCTCTTCAGTCTCCTCCACAAAGAAAGCTTCCCCATTGTCACCCAACTTCATGTGAAGATCCACTGCATCGCCATTGATTTCTATGTCAATCTAAGAGAAGAAACAAAGTGTGATTTAGTATGAAAACTTTCACTGACCCTAAACCAAGCCAAACTTAATACTGAGGTTCCTAGACTGACAGTCCCAGAGAAACAATGCTACCTGTCCTACCCTAAAAAACTAAACAGACCTGGGGAGGAGGGGATGGATAAGAAGGGACTAAAAGAAAATGTTATATCATTTATTTTTATGACATAAAATATTTTACTTAATTTCCCAAATCCTATAAAATAGGGGAAATACAATTGCTGAAAAACATACGAGCACTTTCAGAGTTCTAGCACAGACAGGCCTCACCTGGCATGGTTCAGACAAACAGACTTCAGTTACTGTGGTATGTTAACTGTAACTGCAGAAAACACAAACATTACTGGCTGCTCTTCTGTCAACATATCACTACATAAAAACAGAAGCCCATCATGATCCATAATCCATCACGTCACTTTCCAAAGTCTGCTGGTGACCAGTTGAAGCATATATGTTATTCAGTTCAGGCACAGACAGCAAAGCTTATAATTGTAGTTGTCTCCTTGTCTCTCACTGATAAACCCTTGTGACATTTTATAAAAAGGGGTAATTAAGAGGAAACTGGCCAAGATCAAAATGCAACCTAGCCTAACAAAAAGTAGTATTACTGAAAGTAAAATTCAAACTGAGTGTCAAGTTACAGAAGAAAATCGCTGACTGCAGGAATGGTGACCCTGTTGCTATTCAAAAGACTCAAGATGTGCAGCCAGAGGAACCTGGTGAAGGTGAGCTTATCCATAAAGGAGGAAAGTGTTGTGAATAAAGGATGAAGATGGCTCAGAGGAAGTGACAAAGGAAAAACACTTCACATTGAAGGAACTCACAGACATACTTCGTGATACCAAATGTTCCAGAGATGAAAACCTGAAAGCTAATCCACACTCAGAAAAGAATATGATAATTTGCCAAGACAAAGAAAAGATGCTTGTTCCATATTACAAGTTTCACATCAAGAGGACAAACACAGTTCAGACCAACTAGTCTTGGTAAGTTATTTTACAAAGAAATATGACACTTTAGTTTTCCTTTTTTTTTTAAGATTTTATTTATTTATTTGACAGAGAGAGACACACACAATGAGAAAGGGAACACAAGCAGGGGAGTGGGAGAGGGAGAAGCAGACTTCCCTCTGAGCAGGGAGCCTGATGTTGGGGCTGGATCCCAGGACCCTGGGATCATGACCCGAGCTGAAGGCAGTTGCTTAACCAACTGAGCCACCCAGGTGCCCTAGTTCTCCATGTTTTTAATGTTTTAAATTGCAGTGTACTAAACATCATTTCATTATTTTTCATTTTCTTATACATTTATAACAGAAATTTTTAAAGTTGTGACAAAACTTATAAAAATCATGGGAAAAATCCTAATTTTTCTCAGTTATTAAGTTTGTTTTGCATGGTTTCAGCTTGCCCAGTCATTTTAATGATCTGTACTACCATGCAAAGAACTGTATAGATCTAAAATATTAAAATACTACTTACATTTAAAAATTATGTAGTTTTCTTCTGTTGACTGAATAAATGCCTTTAAATACTTTATAATATTAAACAAATACCAACTTTCAAAACTTTTTTTTTAAAAGAAGATTTGTATTTATTTATTTGAGAGAGTGAGTGAGCATGCAAGAATGAGCAGGGGATGGAGCGCCTGAGTGGCTCAGTGGGTTAAGCTGCTGCCTTCGGCTCAGGTCATGATCTCAGAGTCCTGGGATCGAGTCCCGCATTGGGCTCTCTGCTCAGCAGGGAGCCTGCTTCCCTCCCTCTCTCTCTGCCTGCCTCTCTACTTATGATCTCTCTCTGTCAAATAAATAAATAAAATCTTAAAAAAAAAAGAATGAGCAGCGGAGGGGCAGAAGAAGCAAACTCCCTGCTCAGCAGGGAGCTTGACACAGGGCTCGAGCTGAGAACCCCAAGATCATGACCTGAGCTAAAGGCAGATGCTTAACTGAAGGAGCCACGCAGGTGACCCCCAACTTTCAAACTCTTACAGATAAACTTGTAAACTCCAGTTTTAGACTGCTTCAGGGGATATAACTAAAATATATAAAAATATAATGCAGGTATAAATACAGCACTCCACAATCTAAGTGTACTTAGCTTTACAAGGCCCTTATGGTGCAAAGAGCTGCATGGTCCACTAGGTTTTTTTCCCCAGTGAGGACCAATTTATCCCTTTTGACACTGACTCCTGGTCACATCAGGTCACTGAAGGTCATTAGCTGCCAAATGTTGTCAAAATGCTTGTTATAAAAATCCTACATGTAAGTAACATAACCACACTGCAGGGTAAGGAAGAAAACTAACCTAAGTGGAAAATGGTATTTTGACTATTATAAGTCTAAAGACAAAAAGAACTATAAACAAATGTTGTAGTTAGTATTTAAAAAAAAAAATCAGAGATAGGAGTTAGCAGTTCTGAAATTATTTTATGTGTATTCTAGAACTGAATAGGTAAAGATATTGTAAAAGTAAGAGGCATGTTTCTCACTGTCAGAGAAAGAAGTCACAAATAAGGAGATGAGGAGGAAGCTTCTGGAGACGGATAAGAAACAGTGGGAAAACTCATGATTTTTACAGACATACGTAGGTGCATGTATCTACGTATGTCGATTTTTCCAGCTCTGCCCACTGACAGGGCCTAGAAGCAAAGATAACTCAGTTAGTAAAGAGCACTCCTAGTGACCAGATTCTTTGTTTCTAGATACTTTTCTCTAATAAGAGGAACCACCATTCCTCAGAGAAACAAAATAATTCCAGGGCTGATGGAGGTAAAGTAGATTCTTCTGGAATATCTTATGGTGCCAGAAAGTAAGGAAGTACTCAAAAAATGATGGGAGCATTTCGAAAGGACTCAACTTGAAGGAGCTAACTACCAATTGCCAAACCTGGGACAATCTGAGCAACTAAATAATGATAATAATGGATTAGAACCCAGAGAGTAAAATTAATACTCAGAAATCCATACTGATCTAAATAAATAATGGAATAAGTAAACAAGAGAGAAAGATAGCTCTTTGATACAGTAGAATTTCAATTAATAAACAGAGTAGGAAGGATGGAAACAGAAAATCATTTGGTAAACACCACAGTAATAATTGTTGTAGGAAAATTCATCAGTGTATGGTAAAATTCATGGAAGTATGATGAAAAATGGTATCTGCACAGTCTCCAAGTTTCTTCCCACAAATAAATTTACCGTAAAGAAACCTAGTAGACACCATTAACCAAGGGATCAATGTCAATATCACCAGTAATGAAACATGGCACCATGATGGGCCTCCTGAGATGATGTACTGAGAGGGGCACACCCTTACTCTACATTACTCTTCCCCCAATGAGAAAACATCAGACAAATTCAAACTGAGGCACAATCTATATAACAACCATTTGTACTCCTCAAAAGTCAAGGTTGTAAGGAAAGACAGAATGATCAGAGAATACAGGTGAAAGCAGTGTGGGATTCTGGATAGGATCATGGAGAAAAAGACAACAGCAGTGGGAAAACTGGCATTTTGATGTACTACTCCTTGTAAACTGGTATCTAAAACAATACTCCTATCTATATAGTCATACTTCCTACCCTGTGGCTTAATCTTACTCAATATATATGACTCAGATGTTGAAATAGAACTGATTTGCGTTTTAGAAATACTGGCTGTAGGGGTGCCTGGGTGGCTCAGTTAGTTAGGTTGCCAACTCTTGATTTCAGCTCAGGTCATGATTACAGGGTCCTGGGATTGGGACCCATGTCAGGCTTCACACTCAGTCCAGAGCCCACTTGAGATTTTCTCTCTCCCTCTGCTCATGCTCCCTCTCTCGCTCTCTCTCCCTCCCTCCCAAAATAAATAAAATGTTAAACAGAAACACTGGCTGTAGCAGACTCTTGTTCTGGCACGCCATTCTTCAGGTAAGACTATCTCTAGGTATGTCTTTTTCATCCTCTATTTCAGACCACCAGTTTTAGGTGTGGCTTCAGAGTGAGGAGATAAGGCTGCTGTCCGTGCCAAGCCAATCCATATATTCCACCCCAGCTACAGGACCAAGGAGACTGATAAGTCTGACAGGGAGACTAAATACTGATGCTTCTGGAGGCAGAAATGGCTCTCTTTTTACTATGGTTGCTGAGATCCTGGGAAGTAAACCTGGAGGTATTGTAGCCCTCTTGCATTAACACAAAGAGAGACAGAGTTGAAAGGTGGGAGGAGACAGAGTTCTGATAATACCCTCAGACTCTAAATAAAGCCCATTTTAATTCAAATGCCCCTGGACTTTAGTTATAGAAGTTATAGAAGCCAATAAATTCTGCTGAAGCTGGTGCAAGATGGATTTTTGTCACCCACAATGGAAACTTCCTGTCTAATACATTATTTAATCTTGATAAATAACTGTTAGTTTTGTGTTAAATCAACAAAATTAATATTTAAAAAATACTAACTTCAGGTTTACCTTCTGAAATTCAAGTCTTGAGTTATGAAGAATACTGGGAGTATTGGTGTTCTATCAAACAAGAACATACCAATGACAGTGGGGAAATTATTATATATCTCCCCCTAACCAGAGGGTTAAAGATGATTATGATTTCAAGTCCATTTCATAGGTGTCACCGTAACTGGGGTCTTAGTTTAAAATCAATGAATAGCTTTCCCTAATCCAAACTGACCTAAAATAAGACAAAGAATTAATCCAAATTGCCTGAGTATATCAAGGGAGACATGGTTTTGGTTTTACTGTCATAGGAAAGCTGTTAAATAGCCAGATTTCCTCCCAAACACATCCTTTGGATTTCTGGGACATTAGTGCAAAAGAAGTAATTTTCTCTTTTCCTGTGTCTCATGGACAGATTCATATTAAAATCCAGGGGTGTGACAAGGTATTTAACACAATCATTTGGGCAGCCTTGTACAGAAACTGAACTACATCATCTTTTTTTTTTTTTTAAGATTTTATTTATTTATCTGACAGAGATCACAAGTAGGCAGAGAGGCAGGCTGAGAGAGACGGAGAAGCAGGCTTCCCGCTGAGCAGAGAGCCTGATGCAGGGCTTGATCCCAGGACCCTGAGATCATGACCTGAGCCGAAGGCAGAGGCTTTATCCCACTGAGCCACCCAGGTGCCCCTGTACTACATCTTAATTGGAGGCATACAGCATGTAGAAAGAGGTATGCTGTCTCTCCAGACACCATTTATAGATACACAAATGCTTACATATACAACAGCCTGCAGATTCCATTCTGAAAGGCCAGAAGACTTAACCAATCTGCTGATGAAAAACTCTGACCACAGAAGAACAAACAAAAGTGCCCTATAAGCCATTTAATGAATAGATGCTTTTACAGCTAATGGGAAATTTCAGTGCTTAATAGTTTGGTACAGATTCTCCCAGAGCAGATAAAGTCTGAAAGTACTATAGGTTAGTTTTACTGGCAAGAAATAAAAAATTCCAAGAAACCCAACTGTGGCTGAACACCATTTTGCAATGGAAAGTCTCCAAGTTACTAAATGAACTGTGTGACTGCTTTTGGTTTCCAAAGGATGATTGAACAGAGGCCAGACCACACAAACACTGCCACACTGCAACGTGGCTCTCTAGTGAACTGATTTATAACACCTAGAAAAGAAGATGTGTTTTGGTAGTGGGCAGGAAGGGAGAATATCTAGGGGTGTGAAACCCACAAAAAAGTTTCTTCCATTCTCAAAACAACCGAAGTTTAATTAAAATAGAATTTCTATTTTAAGGAATAAGATCACCTATGTAAAATAGCCAACATCTGGAAATAGATGTTTCCAACTTATGCCGGTGGTCCTCTAACATATAGCTCTGTGCTCCAATATGGTGTGGATCTTTCGTTGTGCTTTAAAATCCTGACAAAATCTCCCTAAATTGTTCAGGTAGATAATGTGGGATAAGACTAGAAAGGAAAAATACTATGTATCTGCAAGGTTTTATTACCAGCTCAGCATTCTAATTTGATTGACATCAAATACATTAACAAACCTTCTCATTGCTCCATTACTTGAAGGTGGAGAATGTAGGAAAAAGGAAAACCAACACAAATTATTTTCTTTCTAAATGAATCTTCCCCAAAATAAATAAAAGCCAACAAGCCTATGGCCTGCAGGTTTGCATTCAGTAAGATCTGCAGACAAGTCCTGGTATTACTAATGAAATTTAGATACAAAGAAGATTTAACAGCTTTGTCAAAACAAATATGGAATTTATTTTGTCTAAATAAATGTAATGTATTCTTGACTATATCAATCTATCCCATTCACAACTGGTACGAAGGTATTGCCCTAAAATTTTTATAAAATTTTTTATTTTATTTATTTGTCAGAGAGAGAGAGAGAGAGACATAGCAAGTGCACAAGCAGGGAGAAGAGCACGCAGAGGGAGAAGAAGGCTCCCTGCTAAGCAAGGAGCCCGATGCAGGACTTGATCTCAGGACCCTGGAATCATGACCTAAGCCAAAGACAGACACAACCAACTGAGCCACCCAGGTGTCCCTCCCCTAAATAGTTTAAAGTGCTGTATGAGGTAAAGAAACCTTCTGAAGACACCTAACCTTCCCCATTTATAACTCCAGTTTCTCCATTTTGCTCTTCTGGGTTGCAACAAATAGAACTATCAAGATAATTTTCAGCCTTTTTTGCCCCCCTTGGAGACTTTCTACAGTAAGGCTTATACTCAGCAGCAACCTCAAAATAACACATAAATGTTGACTTCTTATACCATTATCTTCAACATCAAACGGGTGTTTTCCCTCCCCCCCGTGGGGGGCGGGGAGCCCAAAAAGCATATAAGAACTATTTATTCTATTACCATCTAACCTTTCACCCTCCTTGAGAACAAGCTGTCCCCTGCACTCACCACTTTCTCTTTGGATCTCAGGACGCCCAGCTTCCCAAACCGAACGTGAAAAGGCGAGCACTGATAGGTGCCATCTTGTTGTCGCACCACAATGACATCGATGCATCCAGACAAAGTGGCTTGGTTAATGCCCTTGTAGAGTTCCTTCACAGTGACAATCACCTGCCCAGCCAGCTGTCCCACATAATTCATGGTTTGAAACTACAAAGACAAGAAAAAAATTTTTAGAAGAGATAATAACAAAGAATTTATGAATCTAATGACAGAGAAAAAAACAGTAGTAATTAAAAGGACACTGCACATTTGTATCCCATATTACATATTATTATTAACCTTGCTGATTTCGAACCAATTAGTCTCACACTACCACTGTTTTTACACATTTCCACGCAAGGACAAAATCAGGTGGTCCTTGTGTATGTCAAGAGGCTGTCCCAGCCAGGGCCTCACACATGCCTAAGTTCCCCTTTCTTTTCCATCATCAGAGATCCTGCCAGATGCCCATAGTGGTTTCCCCCTAAAGTTTAGAATCTGCATGGAACCACCAAAGAACCCAGACTACCACCACTGTCCTCTTGCCCAAGATCACTGGGGCAACTATCTACCCTGATCACAGCAGCTAAATAGAAAAAATGACCAATGATCACCTCCAGGAGAAATCAGAAAACAGGTTGCTTCTGCTAAAGACAAATAAGTGAGAGATGAGTTTTCTACAAAACTATTAGTAGAATATGGTTCAGAGACATGCTAGATTAAATAAACTCTGGGTGAGCTAGACTGGATCTAAACCATTTATAACATTACTTTTTTTGAAAATCCCCTCAACGCTTGAATACAACTCACTGGAACATATATTCATGTTCTACAAAGCACAGAAAAGGGTTTTAATCTTGTTGTCAATAATTAGTCAAATCAGGATAACTAGGCTAGAAAAGGGTCCTCCAGAAAGGGTCAATGTCAAGGAAGGAGTATGCACCTGACCAGGGCTGAGGGATTAGAGGAAATGCTTCCTCTGGGCCCCATTATCTGTTGCAGCTGCAGCTAGGACCACAGGTTGGGGAGCCCACCATATAGTATGTGTTGAGGACCAGTGGGGAAGTCTCCTTGAATCTCCCTCAACTTCTAATTAGAAAAAATAGCTCCTCCTCAGTCCTAAGGTTGTTCATTTCATCTCCAGTTATCAAATACCACCACATTTCATTCATTAGACACCACCCCTAGTATTATGTACAAGCACAATTCAGCAAATCATTCTCCTCTGGACAGGTAGGACACAGACCAAACAAGAGGTCCTCCACAGCTCTGGCTAATCCAGAGGTTAACTTTTACTGAACAGATTATTTTAGACAGATTATTCTCTAGGTCATTCATCATAAGCACAGTTGTCTCTTTAAACTCAGCTTTTCAGGAGCCTTAAACTCAAAAGTTACATGCTGAGAATAGTTTCCAGAGATCACATTCTATGTTGTCAGATAAGTCCAAAGCTGAATTGGGAGAAAGAATGTTAATCCATCGGGAAAACTTAGGGGCCTCCCAGGACATCTGCCTTTAGAGAAACTCACCCTACTCCTCACCGGTGAGTACCTACCTACTGGGAGTGCACAGATTCCACTCAAACTTTTTTTTCTCCTGAATGTGTAATCAAGACCCACCAGATTTACACTGTTAAGCATAGCTATAATAATTTTACTCCGGAAAAATTCTTTGAATATTTGAAAGCTAATGTTACCAAGGCCCCCAAAATTATTTACAGAAGAGATGACTTTGTGGATATAAACTAGTTGCTAAACTGACTACTAAATGAAGCAGTATCCTTTACAAAAGTTATAAGTTGGTGTGATTCTGGTTTTAGGAGAATTCATTTGGCAAGGCCAAATTAGGCAAGTATTCAATGATTTCTCCAATGAATAAAGGAATGATCAAATGAACCATCAATATGGAGTGCCTGGGTGGCTCAGAGGGTTGAGCCTCAGCTCAAGTCATGGTCTTGGGGTTCTGGGATCGAGCCCCGCATCAGGCTCCTGCTCAGCAGGGAGCCTGCTTCCCCCCCTCTCTCTGCCTGCCTCTCTGCCTACTTCTGATCTCTCTGTCAAATAAATAAAATCTTTTTTAAAAAATGAACCATCAATAAATAAGACCAAAAAAAAAAAAAAAGAAAGAAATGTGTAGGGCGGAAGTACTATTTCATCAGAGTATTTGTATTACACCATCATTTAAATATTAGTATTTTTTATTTTGCAGTAACTATAGATTCACAGGCATGTAGTTTTAAGAAATAATAGAGAGAGATTCCATGTATCCTTTAAATCAGTTTCCCAAATGGCAACATCTTGCAAAATTCTAGTGCAATCCCACAATCGGGATATCAATATTGATTCAGTTAAAATGGAGAACATTTCCATTATCACAAAGATCCATCCTATTGGCCTTTATAGCCATACTCAGCCACTTCTGTCACTCTCTCCTTAATCCCTGACAAGCACGAATTTGCTCTTCATTTTTGTTATTTTGTCATTTTAAAAAAAAGTTATATAAGTGGAATCATATGGTATATAACATTTTGTGATTGCCTTTTCCGACTTCTATTGCTATGGAGACTCATCTATTTCCTGCACGTATCATGTTCATATTCTGTAAGTAATATATGTTCACGATATGCTTTTTGCTTGTCACAGCATGTACATGAACCACCAACCAAGTAGTCAATCTTTGTATTACTGCTTGACTGGTGGCAATTTAAAAAGGAGTTTTGTTACAAATTTTTAAAAACTTCATAAATAATTACACAATTATATTCTTTTCTTTAAAAAAAAAAACTAAAAAATGTTAACTTCTAGCAACTCCATTCAGCCATAAAACAAGTTATAAACTAAATGTGTATGAGCTTACATCAACTAGAGCATGGGATCCATAATTAAGTGTAACTACATCTATTCAAAATGATTTTAATTACCATAGTTAAAGGATGCGCTGTTATACAAGAAAGTCTATTGTGTAAATGCCAGTTGCTAAATGTAGAAAAATATATGCTACCAAATGACTGGTTTTTTCCTTAGCAGATATAAAACAATTCTGTCTGTATTATGAAGGCTAGGAAAACAAAAGTAAAGGAAGTCCTTCTGCTGTAACATTTGCTACACTCTGGGAATGAGGGGCACACTTCTGCTAGGAAGGGCACTCCGTCTAAGCTGGGGCAGGGGGCTCCCGCATTGTTATGTCTGGTGAGAAAGCAGCTGGTTGTTGTATGCATGCATGACACATTAAACAGCTTCTTCTTTAAGTATTATCTAGCACCGTAAAACTTCATTCCTACATGTCCAGCCCAGCACTAGCCATAATAAAGCTAAGTGAGAACAAATTCAGGCCTCGGATACCTGTCCTGTTCAACACCTGTGAAAGTGTAACTCTAAACAGGGGCAGAAAGACAGATGATTAAGTACCCAGACACATCTAAGGGACACACCTCACCGAAGACACTACCTTTAGAAATAAAACAAAGAATAAAAAAATATAGTAAAATAATATACACTGTAAATTATTCATTAGACCAAATGATGAGAAAAAAACAGTAGAAGAGAGAAAATGAATTCAAGAACAGTGACAGGTGGGTGGCTCAGTGGGTTAAAGCCGCTGCCTTCGGCTCAGGTCATGATCTCAGGGTCCTGGGATCGAGTCCCATATCGAGCTCTCTGCTCAGCGGGGAGCCTGCTTCCTCCTCTCTCTCTGCCTGCCTCTCTGCCTACTTGTAATCTCTGTCTGTCAAATAAATAAATAAAATCTTAAAAAAAAAAAAAGAACAGTGACAGGGAGTAAGAGGGGATGCAGAGAGAGACAGATACAAATTCAGAGAATAGGAAAGACAGAATAAGAATACATACATAATCAGAAAGCAGATGGACAAAAAGATGCCGATACAGACAGAGGAATGTGGAACTGCAGGGTTTTCACAGAGCAGCGTCTCCATCTTCAGGTTCACAAGCACAAAGAAAATATAAACATGCATTAATTGATTCTCAGTAATGAAAGTATTTATCTAGTCCAGTCTTTCAACAAATACCCGAAAGCATTTCTAGCACATCCCTGAAATATGGAAAGTTAATCACCACTGTAGCAGCAACTGATGTTTTAAGAGCTTACTACATACCAAATTCTTAACAATTTTCTTAAAGGCAGGGGAGGAGGAGCAGATGGAGGGGGAGGAAGAATCCTAAGCAGTCTCCACATCCAGTGCAGAGCCAGAGCTCGATCTCACAATCCTGAGATCATGACCTGAGCTGAAATCAAGAGTCAGGTGCTTAACTGAGTCACCCAGGCAACCAACTATGTACCAAAATGCATTATCTCAGAACTACCTTATGAATGAGTGAATATTATTATTTCTATCTTTAAAGATAATAAAAGTAAGGCTTAAGACGATTAAGTATTGTTAAGAATTGTTTGTTCCTCAAATTCTTATGTTGAAGCCCTAACCCCCTCACATTGGAGGTGGGGCCTTTGGGAGGTAATTAGGTTCAGATGAGGTCAAGAGGTGGGACCTCCACGATGGGATTAATGCCCTCATTACAAGAGCTCATGTTCTCTCCTCCTATTATGTGCGGAAACAGAGAGAAAGTGGTTGTGTGCAAGCCAGGAAGAGAGCCCTCACTAGAAACTAAATTGGCCAGCGTCTTATCTTGGACTTCCCAGTTCCCCTAACTGTAAAAAATAAGTGTTGTTTAAACCACCCAATCTGTGACATTTTGTTATAGCAGCCTGAGCTGAGACAAGTATCTTAAACATCAATTGCCATACTGTTTTTCAATGTTGGGGTACTTCATTGACAAAGACTCACTCCTTTCACCAAGAAGTTCATAACTGTATCAGACAGCCCTAGATATTACATCCACTAGAACTCACAATGGATATGTGCCACCCTCTTTCTAAATGATACCACTTACACCAAAGAAGAGTTTGTTGTAGAAGCATAACTAGGTCTCATCTACTCTCGGCCAAGCATTCTTCTTCCTTAAAATATCTAAAATGACTGGATTTACTTTCACTTTTATGACAAACTAGAGAACTTTGTTTAAATGGGAGATCCAAAACTAGACACAGTAGTGCTGACAGACCTGACAGATACACAGTGTGTACAATCTACAGTGTGTGTTTAGGTATAGGCACTGGCTCCCATGGGCTGGGTTAAACATTGGGAGCTCCCA